TGACACCCGACCTCGCTACGCCACTGGCGTTTAGTGAAATATTTTAACACTTATAAAAAACAAACATTCAAAATTTTGGGAGTGGATTGAGTGTCACACTTAATTACCGCATCGAGTGACACCAGAAATGTTGGGCCTCTAACACAAGGGTTTTCTGGCGGGGGGGGGGGGGGGTGTCGCAGACCTGTAGACTAAACAAAACAAATTTTAAAACAAAATCAAAATTGTATGGTGACCGCGGAATATGCCTGAAAGAAGCACTATTTTTTCTGGCATCGCTTCGAGGGCGGGGGGGGGGACAAAGCCGTAATACTAACTGACAGAAATATCAAACTCGTTACAACTGTTGTTATATAGGCCGAAAAAAAGCTAACCCCCTCCCCCCCCCCCCCGAAAATTTCAAGTGCCCCCGCGGAGAAAAAAGTCTGGAAGAAACACTGCCCCTTGATTATGCAAATGTAATGTTTTTTAAAAGGATTGAGTCGGTATTTTTACTATACTTTTTGGTCATTATTTTTAGATTACGTTGACGGGGTAGATAACTCTAAGAATATTATCAAAATTTAATATCAACAAATAAATAGATCTATAAATTTGCTAATCAATCATAAAAATCATTGCGTCTAATCAATGTTCGCTATTTTTTTTTTGAGTCTTAGAAACAAGATCTAGATCTAGATTCTAACTAGATCTAGATCTATCTCTATAAGTCTATATTTACTATATTATTATAATTATTAGATCTAGATCTAAATTAGATCTAGTAAAATTAGGCCTAGGGGCCTAATTGTCGCAAATTTTCTGCAAGTTCTAGATCTATTTCATAGTATTTCTGCAGTATACGTCTAGTTCTCGCTTCGATTGCCTTAGATCTAGAATTTAGATCTAAATTCTAGATTTAAAATTGAAATACATACATACTAATAACTAAATACTATTTAATTCAATAGTATTAGTAGGGAGGCTCACTAACTTAAAAGCGTCCTTGGTTGCTAACCAGAACATGGCGTAAGGATCGGACCATGACTTCCGGCGAGTTTTTCGACTTAGTTCCAGAGACCTTCTTAGAATTACTTTTAAAAATGTTTATCACGAGTAAAATGGCGGGTTTTCACGTTATAAAAACATGCTATAGGTGGCAAGGTTAAATATGCCAGAAAAGCATTTTCAGAAATTGCTTTGGGGAATGTAGGCTAAATTTAAAGTCGGTGTCATTCAAAATAATATAACTTTTTAAATATAGATCTCCATATCACAAAATTGATTTCCAAAGTAAAGCATTATTAGTTTTATCATTCTATGAAAAAATAAATCAAATATCTTCAACACTTTTTTTTATAAGATGTGTCCAAAAAATGACAACCAATTTTTTTTATTTTTTTTGACCACGTGACCGCTATTTGAATGGATACGTTTACCTGGCATGGTTTTTTATTTTGCTCTTTTGTACAATAAAAAATGTTATAAAATTAAAGAAATAAAAGAATTCAAACATCACTTCTGTCTTGTCTTTTTTAAAATTCTTTTCTGATGACATTCTCTTAATTTTTTTTCCTCTATAAATATATCCCGACGATAGACGGGCCAATTCTACTTTTAGGAACTCTCTTGTGAAAAAAAATTAGATCTATTTCACGGTCACTTAAAAAGTTAAACCTTTCAACTTTTAACCAGGTTGTCATGGATGATCCGTCATATCATAGCTGTGAGTGACAAATAAATTTAAAATTCAATAATTTAGTCTAAACTCGCTACAACCCCCAAATTTAGTGCCTAGAGGATAAAGTATGGACGTTTTTTATTCAGTTGTCATGTTTAAATTGAGAATTAAGTAGATTTCACAAATAGTAAGAAAAACTAGTATTAGCCTAAATAAAATAAATACTATCGGAGTTTCTTCCAGGCCTCCCTTTGGGGGGGGGGGGGGGTGGAAAAAAGTACTGCAACCCCCCCCCCCCCCCCCCCAATGAGATGGAATTCATATTTTATATAGTAAACATACTTTTACTAGTGTTCGCCCCCCCCCCCCCACTGGAGAAAAAAGTCTGGAAGAAACACTGAATACTATTAGTCAAAACATTTCTACTTGACAATAGTGCATAGAATTGAATAGGCCTATACTAAAGTATATTCAATATACTATAGATAGCCTACATACATACTATTACTATTAGGCATTAGGCCCTACATACAATTATTAGTTACATGGATCTAGTAACTTCTTAAAAGAAGTTCTAGATTCTAATTCTACTAATTGACTTATTATAATTGACACTATAAGTCATAACTAGATCTATATTGATTATATTGTAGTTGCTAATACTAATTTAATTTTCTTCATGCTGTTTTTATTTGTTTCCTTGTGTTGATTAAATTTAAAACATTACTTCATAATTAGTAGTTACTAGGCCTATACTACACTTTATTTTCACTATTATTAAAAATAAATGATAACACAACTTATTGGATGCCGTTTTTACTTTTACTCTTATTTTGACGATCTACTCCACAGACTATATAGAGTAGAGGTTCACTGTATATTCTAGCTAGACTGCCTCACAGTTAGATGAGCCACAATAGTACTACTACTAGAATCAAGTAGTGGAATTAAACAAAAATTCTTTAAAACAGGTCTATTTCTATATCATAAAGATCTACAGGCCCTTAAATATTATTAAGACAGTTATTATAATGAGTTATCAGTAAAAACCATGAAAGTTAGTTTAGCTCATGTTATTTTTAGAATCCATTTTTCATTTTCTAATGTGTACTTTAATCTATTGCAGTTATCATTGTACTACAGCCATCTCAGACCTAAGTGCACTTATTTATTTAAAATGAAATTTGGACTTGATGAATTGGGTAATCCCATATCTGAACCATTTGGTAGCCTTGAGGACATTTTGCAGTGGAGTGCTGGCAAGTTTTCCTTTCATGCTTCAAACAATTTTCATTTGGACAACTTTTCAAATGATAAAAATATACCCAGAAAAGTGGTTAAGCCTGTTAGACCACAGCTACTTGTATGTCATGATATGTCAGGTGGATACTTAGAAGACAGGTATATATTAAAAACATGTTCTTTTAATATTAAAAGGTTTAAATATTTTTTTAATTAGGAGTAGTAAGTTATCTTTAAGACTAAATATTCAGTTAAGTAATTTTTATATTACAATTTTTTTTAGGTTCAAATTTAAGGAGAAATTACATTTTTTATTTTACTCAAGCCTTACTAAATGATACATAATTTGTTAAATATTAATATGCATTTTAAAAAAGAAAATTAACATGTAAACTAGAGTTTATGACAGTCCACTATTTTTACAGGTTTAGTCAAGGCAGCAAGGTTGCATCAGGATACCGGTTCTACCATTGGCATCTAATTGATACTTTCGTCTACTTCAGTCATCATTTCATTACCATACCACCAATAGGATGGATCAAGGCTGCCCACAAACATGGTGTCACTGTTCTAGGTCATTATATATTCCCACTCTAATAAATAAAGTAATTAATTTACTTAATGATGAACATCAACTGGTAAATAATAATGAACACTAAAGAACATAACTTGTCCCAAACAAATTTGTATATAGGACATGTTCTTGTCACAAGGCATGAACAAATATGATAAACGTTCTTGTATTTTTCTGTTCAATGTATAATAGGAACCATAATTACTGAATGGGATGATGGAGCAGAGACTTGTAAAAATTTGTTAAAGTCCAAGCAGTTCATTGATGAAATTACAGCTAAGCTGGCACAAATGGCTGCTTTCTATGGCTTTGATGGTTGGCTCATCAACATTGAAAACAAAATTGAGGTACAGTATTGGCCTAGGCTTCCAAGCAATAAAGTCTTTTAGGACCAAGATACAGACAGTTTCTTTGTAATTCTTTTTTTATTGCTGGTCCGACTTTTACAATTAAAATAACAAACATGCAAAATAAAAAAACTGCTTTAATAACTGAAATGTTAATCCAGTTATTTATATATAAATAAATATATAAAGAAATATAAAAAAAAAGAAATTTATATATATAAAAAAAAAGAAACATTTTTAAAGTCTTTGTAATTTCTTTCCATAATTTTTCTATCATATTTGCTGTTTTATTAAACAATTCTTATGTTTTGTCTGTACAGACTGATCAAGTTCCACTCCTGGAGTATTTTGTGCAGAGCCTTACAGCCAAGTGCCATGCTATCCTGGACTTTGCCAAAGTTCTGTGGTATGATAGTGTCACAGTCAAGGGAGAACTGGACTGGCAGAATGAACTGAATGCAGCCAACGAGTCAGTTGTTGTTGACTTTTTACCTTACTTTCTTCTAACTCTGTGTACTGCTGGACAAGGGAGTTAACTTTTTCAATTCTTGATCTCGCAGAATCTTCTTTCACGTGTGTGATGGAATATTTCTAAACTATTGCATTACAGAAGAAAAGTTGGAACAGTCTAGGGTGTTAGCTTCTAAAACAGGCCGTGAATTTGATGTTTATGTTGGAATTGATGCATTTGGACGTGGGACACCAGGAGGGGGAGGATTCAATTGCAAGGAGGTAATTGGTTTTTTTTTTTTTTGTTAAGATTTAGGTTTTAGTTAATGCAGGGAATAAAATATTGAAATGCTTTTTAAACTTTTATGGCTTGCCCTGTCAAAATTGAAAAAAAAAAAACTGTTTTTAGTCTTTTAAATATAGTTAATGATGTACTGTGTAGTGTAATCAATAGTTGCTGGAATTCTCTCTTGTTTTACCCAGGTTTTGAAAATGGCACAGGACCACAGTCTTTCTTCTGCCATCTTTGCCCCTGGATGGACCCATGAATTTCTCAAGGGAGATAACTTTGAGGATAATGAAATTATGTAAGTGAGCTGACTGATTAAGCTTGTGTTGGGTGCCGGGCTAAAAATTCACTGCGGATCCTTTAAACTTTTATATCACTGGCCTAGTTATGTGTGCCATTTATCAATTTAACATCCCTCCTGAAATAAGATTTGTGATTAATTGCTAAAAGTTCAGCAAAATTCAATGTTCATTTATAGTAATGTGAAATTGATAATCATATTTTAACACCATTTACTTACCCTTACCTTGTAAAGTTTCTGTAACAGCATTAACATTTTCAAAGTAGTTGCTATTCTATTCATCAATAAATTTTAATTTGACTTTATCTCTGTAATTTGATTTGTGGTTTGTAATTTTAGGTATTGGGGAATAATAGCACAGCTGGTAACTCCGAGGCCTGTTACAATACCTTTTGCTACATCCTTTTGCCAGGGGTTTGGTCATCACTATTACATTGAGGGTCAGGTAATATTTTCTAATTCAAATTTTAAAATTTTGCTTGCTGTGTACAAAATCAATTTAACTATCTGTGAATATAAACATACATTTTAATTTTATTATTGTGTGTTAATGTATGAATACTTTATATAATATTTAATGCCTACAGTTTTTTGTTTCTTTATCATAGACTTCTAATCTCAGTATGACAAAAAATGTGTATGTAACTATATGGGTTATGATAGAAAGATTCAGGTTACAGTTAAATTTTAAGTTAAAGATTAGGTTAACTCTTTGTTTATATTTCAGTATATAAACTTAAGAGATGTAACATTTCCTTATTTTCAGAAAATCCTATTTTTCTCAGTAAAGAAACTATTCACTCTAAGTTTAAATCTTTATGATACTTACATTTCAATTTTTTTTACCGTAATGTTTACCTCATATTTATAATTACCACCTGAAAAACTTGAAATTACCTTTGATTTTTCACCAGCAACATGCAACCTTTTTTTCAGATATTAAAACAAGTTATTTTTTATGTGGTCATTTACATCTGTGAACTCATCTTTTTATCTTAGTCAATATTGGTCATGTATAATAAGTTTATGTTCCTTTTGCCATTTCAGCAAATATCCAGCCAAACACCTTGGTGTAACTTGCTGACACAACAGATCCAACCCAGCTTCACACAGAGTCAGTTCTTGTCCTACACTGTGACCAAGTTCATTGATCAAGTGGCCAATGAGGAGGCTGGGGTCAAAGAAAAAGTTCGGATAGAGACCAGTGTAAGCCATCTTCATCCAGCCAGCCCAAAGATGGAGCTAGATTTACACACAGCCTACATCGGTGGAGGCTCTCTGAAGATGACAACAAAGGGGAACGAGCCTGTGTGGTTTAAGTAAGTTTGCTATAAATTTTAAAATTATATTTTCAAGACATTGTTTATTGATAAAATATTTATTTTTTCTCCTGGATCAGGAGGGTTCTGGTGTAACATTTAGTATTGATAATATTAATATGTCAGCTATAAGGATTGAATATATTTATAACACAAAGCAGTTTTTTCATTTTATTGTTTCTTTTAGCCTTAAATTACTTGATTTTTATACTTTTTTTTGCAGGATGTTCAAGGTAAACAGCAAAAACTGTAAAAATATAAGTGTAACAGTGACCTGGAAGATTGATGAGAGTAGGACAAATTTTGCAATGGTATTGTGTAATTCAGCAGGGGAGAGTACCGCAGGGTCCTATGTTATACTGGAGTTGTCCCCCTTGGGTGATAATCACAAGGAATGGATAGGAGGTGTCTACTGCGCTAAGTTGTACTGTAGTGTTACATCTAAACAGGAGCCTAGGCTTTTGGCTGGAGGATTCATGAGCAGGTATAATGGGATATTACTTTTCTCTTCAGTATATTGTAACAGATAGTAATTTACATACTTATATTTGAGATTTTAGTGCTAAAAATATTGATAACAAATATTAGTCTATTTAACTAATTTTTTAAATTTTACAAAAATTTAAAATCATTTAAATAATAACTTATCTTGCTTTAAGCACATTTCATGTGGATACAAGTGGCTTCTTAGAGGGCAGCAACCCAGAATTTATGCTCTGTGCAGTACTACTTCCACAACATTCAGATGTGGATGGAAGTGGTTTGTGTTGCCACATTGGGCAGATTGTGGTAAGCTTTTTTTTTCATTTGTGGGTTGGTGGCCAATTCTTTGATCTGAATTTTAAACCTTTACAAAGAAGAGATTTTTTTTAACCTTGCAGTTATCTGCATCTACAATGATGATTGTGCAGGACAATCTAAATTTTAATCTGAATAGATGATGAATTAATTGTTAAAGATTGTTTAAAGTTTACTAATGTATTTAGTGAAGTTTACAATATATAAATTACAAAAGTGGAAATAACTGGTTAGTATCAAGAACTTGATCAGTCAGTTTAGCTGGGGCATCAATAAAAATAAAAGTTGTTGGAATGGATATCATATTTATAATACTGCTGTTTTAAAACTAGTATCGAGTTACTAATTATATTGCTAATTATATTTTTACTGTTCTGATCCTATATTCTAAAATGTAGAAAATTAAACTTCTACAAAACATATTAATTAGCTTTTTAAATTCACCAAAAAATAAACTATATATATGTTTAATCAGGCTCAGCATCAATATTTTTTTTCTTGTTTAGATCTGTGAAGATAGCTCAAAGCATGAGATCCCCAAACCAAGTATAAAAAGTCTGTGGTGTTTGGGTGTGCAGACTGAGCTCCCACTGTCCACTCAAGGCAAAGAAAAAATTGTCCTGCACCCATGCCTCAACATGTACGGTGTTGAAGAAGGCGGACTTGATGAGAACTCTGTCACTGGCAGTGTATCAGAGCCTAGCAGCAGAAGCTTCTCAGACCTCAACCTCTGCGTTCCCATGTCCTCCATCTCAACTGCATCCCTCGAGGCCTCCGCCAGCTCGTCTTCCATCGCGTCGGAAAGTACTTTTTATGTTCTAAAATGGGATACTTTATCCGTGGAAAGTGTGGATTATTTCCTAGTCTTTTCTTATGATCAGCGTGGGGTTAAGACACTTCTGGGCCAGGTTGCTGCTCAAACTTTTGTTTATAAAAAGACTGAACAACACTTGTCCTCATTTGCTGTGGTGCCAGTGTTTCTTTCCAACAACTTTCTAGGTGATGAAGTTGTTTTTTATCTTTAATATTTATACATCAAGAGGACGACTTTTTAAATGCCTGAATTGATTTTGCCACTTAGTTCTGCAGAGAATAAGATTACACATAAGGCGACCCCCTTGAGTTTCTTTTTTAATTTTTGAGGCAAAAGCTATGAGGGAATTTAATTTTTATTAAAGTTGCTTAAAAAAACGTTTTTTGAGTTATGACATTTTTTTTTACTGTAATTAATTTTTTAAACTTCTATTTCCAATAACAATGTATTTGGAACACTATTTTGCTAATGTAAGGTGTATTCTCATACCTGACCAAGTGCCTTTTTAATGAGATTTTAATTCCATTCATAGGATGAGTGTACATTAAATCCCCTGTAGCAGCAAAAACTTGCAATCCTTCTCATTTATAACAGTTCCCTGTGGCTTCCTACAAGCCATAAAAATGTGTGTGTATATGACAAACACAAGGATATTTTTAAAATTTCCCCGTGCAATTTTAAATTTAAAAAACAAAACAAAATATATTCAATGTTGAAATAAATTTTACTTTTTCAAAATATATACATAGTCAAATGGTATAAAACCAAAAGTCCTGCCTGTATCACCAGTTGAAATCTGGTCAGAGTAGAAAATCTAGAGCTTAAGATGGTGTCAGACAGTTCTGAGATCTGGACAATAGGAAAATTGCCTTTCATGAGCTAACTTTACAAGCCTACAGACCATATGATCAGGATAAAGTTTCTTCAGTGAAATAAAAAATAATAGGATTTGGTAGTCCCAGATTTACAGGAAAACTTGTTTAGCTAAACATTAGATAGGCCTTAAAAACAGATTTAGGAGATATTTATATAATGATAAACGTATATATATATATATATACAATAACTTGAACACTTTAACAGTGTTATTATATATTATTTCTCTTGTAAGTTTTACAATGAAATTTAGTAAAAAACAACACCTTATTGTGATAGCCCAACTACTAATACAATGATCCAGATACAGTTCTATTTTAAACTAAGGATAGTGTAATCTCAATATGCTCTTTAAAAAAATGAATGGGTTATGTAAAATGCATACAGGAGTTAAACACAATAAAACAAAATAGTGAAGTTTAAAATAAGGGTATATTTAGAAACAAGTAAAAACATAAACCTGTTCATTATAGGGGTCATCCTTTTATGATGTCAACATAGAGGTGATGGTTTGACCAAAGTTGTATTTTATGATTTTGGTGGACCTCAAAAAATTTAACATCACTACACATATAGGTCATAACAAGCTAAACTATCCTGCAAAATAATGCATGCATTGAAATTACAACGCTTAGGTTACAAAACAAAAACCACTGGTAATTATGTTGAATTTTAAAAGGAGTATTAGAAAATGCTGAATCTGACTAGAAATATTACTAATTAAAATATTTTCCTCCAAACAAGAGGAAAGGCTTAGTACTCCATTTGAGCTACAGTTAATTTTCTGAAATTAAAATAAAACGAGTGTATCAGAAATTTGTTCTTTTAAATGAATTTATTTCTCAAAACCCTTTTCACATTTAATAATAATAAAAAAATTACTACATAAATATTAGCATTGCAATGTGCATGGTGGTACTGAATTAGATTAGTTTGTAAGTTGTGAGAAAATTATGTTCCCTGGATGACCCACATGACCTTACAGGGTAAATGTGGACTGAAGGTAGCGTGAAACTTTTCTTTTTCTCGTGAACATCATAAATGGATGATCCCTTATCTGATAAACCATGTTGAAATAAATAGATTCCTACTTGCAAGAGTGATAAATCTAAACAAATTGTTTAAAAATATTTAGTACATACAAAATGTAATTATAAAAAGTAAATTATGTAACATGGAAGAAGTTCAGCATAGAATCCACATTTTCACATGAAAAACATTTCAGCACCATCATAGACTGAAGGCTGTACACCAAGCACACTGGTTTCTAGTCATCAGAACTACCCTGGAGAGTAAGTACCCAGAAAGACTGCTGATTTCATTCAGTGTGGAACAACATTAAGTACAGTAACAATGACAATGTACTATTTGATCTCTAGTACGATTAATAGACAGAGATAGTCAATCACCAATGATAGATTCTGCTAGGTAATGTCGGTTTACTGGCCTCAACAAATGTAATTATTTACATTTCTAAATTTCTAAAAACTCTTTATCATAAACTATTGATGGAAACAAGAATCATCAGCAACTATAAATGAAATTTTAAAAAAAAATTTGACTATACAAAAAGAAATAAAAAATCCAAAAATTTTTTTTAAATTTCTTGTTGCTGTTTGATAAAAGCTAGGTAGGAAACTTTAACTTTGCGCAAGAATATAAAGGTTACAATGATAATTTATTGCAGTTGAATCATAAACTTTTATAGTAGATTTATACACATCATGCTATCTTTTGAGCTGGATACCAATAAAAATGCATTAAAAAATTTAGAGTACTCTTAAATATGGGAAATATGTTCCAACAAAAAGCCTGAAGAAATTTCATTCAAAATTAGAAATGACTAAATAAGGTGAAGAATTCTTTATTTAGACAAATCTAACTCCTGATAAAAAAAAAAACTCCACCAGAATACACTAATTAATATATTCAATGAATTCCAGAAGAAATGTCATGCTGCAAGAAATGTACATATGCTAAACAGAAGGTATACAACACATATAAAAAAATAAATCACAAATACTAATATAAAAATATTTAAAGGAAAAATACACAACCTTTGCTGTATGGATGTTTGCCATCTAAACTAGGTTTAGGTTTATGTTACAAAATGTCTATGAAATTGAAGCTATTGAAAGCATTATCTGGTCAAATTTAAACTGGTTTTCTAGTTTGCATAACAACAGTTAATTAAAGCATATTTCAGTACTGATAAATCAACTACCTTAGAAAAAAAAGGATATTCCACAATCACCATGTACATAAGATAAAAACCTTTTCTTTTAATAAATATTGGTTGGCATTATGTAACACAAAGGAAGTGAAAAACATTAATGACAACAAAAAAGATTATTTATAACAATAAATGGACAATGTTTAAATAAATGATAATTTTTTAAAGGCAAATGTCTCTTAATGACACCAAATTTGAGATTCAATAATTAATTCACCCAGACAGGAGGTATGAAAAGTAAGATATTACAAACTGTACATATAAACATTCAATAGTAGAATTTGAAAATTCATAAAAAGCATAACAATAATATAAGTTATGTACATTTATTGTTTACTTTTGCTGTTCAATTTTTTTTAAAAAGCTTAAGATGATTGCAGTAGAAGTGCATAAAGCACTAATTTCATCCCTCTTCTCAGGAGAGTCCATAAGAGACAGCAATTGCTGGCATATTTTCTAACTTCAGTACAGAAGAGCATATTTTTCACAGTATTGTCACTTGTCTAGATGAAGAACCTCATCAGTGGAGGACACAGGACAGGAGGCCAAGATCTCTTTAGGAATGTTTGAAAAAGTTAAACATTGGTTCAATGGGTTGTCATCTTTGTTAGAGCTGGTCACAACATCCAGACCGCTAGGAAGAACATCAGCCAGGACCTGTGCAGGAATAACTGCATCAATAGAGGTAGATATACAATCAGAGCTCATAACTGGTAACTGCTCCACAATGTGACTCAGGTCACTGGCTGTAGGCAGCACGGCAGATGAATCAGCTAGAGCTGTCAAAGTGGGATCAGCTGGGTTATCCTCAGGGGCATCTTCATCACTGCATACACTACTTTCATCATCATCATCATCTTCTTCTTCATCATCATCCTCACTAGAATCACTGCTCTCAGAGTCAGTATAAACCTCTGCTCCTTTAAAAACATAGCGACTTGGGGGCATAAATAAAACTTGACCCTCTGTGAAGAAGTAAAGCATTTAAATTATTACACATTAAAAATAAGTAATGCTGAAGTCAAAAGATCTGACAAATTTAAAAAAAATCTAATGACATAAAGAATGGTTTATTAAAGTATAAAGAGTTATGTGACAAGAAAGAGAAACTTGTTGTTAGTATTATCGCACTAAGCATTTATTAATTTTTTTTATAAGCATTTGTTAATTTTTTTTTTTAAAAGCAGTGTTCTAATGGATTATGCCATTAAATACAACTTATGATTGAGCTATATATGATTTAAATTACAGAGGCAATTTACACTAAATTGCTCACCAGTAACAGAAATGAACTATCTTACATACCTGATATTCTGTGAGCAAGGCTGAGCCTGTGTTTACTTTGCCACATTTTACGCATCTCATCTAATGATTCTTCATGGGATAACGAATCACTTTCTTTCTTGTCGGCTTCCTGGCTAACCTCTTCCACCTCCTCTAAGCTCTGCTTGTGCCTTTTTATATCTGAACAAGCTTTGTCTTGAGCATCTGAATCCTCCACCCCTAAACTGCTGTGTGGTCTTTTCTCACACTTTTTCACAGTTTCTGACTGGTCGTGTGGTGGATGACCATGGGAGGACTTTTCATGAGAAGATGGGTGCTCATGTTGAGCAAAGACAAGGTCGTCAGATGGAGAATGCTGATGTGACTTCAGCTGTTCATGAACATGATGGGAGCTCCCATGATGACTGTGGCTTTTAGTATTAGGTATGTACATTACATCACGCCGATGGCATGCGTTAACTATCGTTTCAATTTCCTGAGAGGTGCATGCGTTGTTAGATTGTTTGTCCAATGCAGGCGTGTCTGAACAAGACTGTTCATTAACACTTGTAGAAGGAACACAGTCTGTTAATGTCAGTGAGTTGCGTGAGGAAAAGGGCCATTTGTTTGCATGTTTGTGATTATGTGATTTAGTGCATGAGACATCAGGCTGGGATGTGGAAACCTCATACACTCCAACATCGTCATCCCGGATGTGGATGTGCGGATCTGTGACTTTACTCATTTGACATTCGGATGAGTCTATAGCAGAAGGCAGATCTTTGTTGGACAAACTTTCTAGCATGTCTGCTTGTTCAGCGGGGCTGGTGCAGCCAGGGGCGGAGTCATCAGAGTGACAGCTGGGTGACTTGGACTCCTGGGACTCTGGGCTAACAGGTGGGGAGGGCAGACTGGACAAGGACACCTCGTTTAGAGGAGGTCCTGGTGGGGCTAAGTGGTCCCAGCCTGGGCCCAAGCGCCGACAAAGTTCTGCGATGATGCCATCGCAGTTGCCTAAAAGCTCAACATCAAAGTTAAAATGATGCAGCCGTTCTCTGTTTATTAGCACTTGTGGCACATGAGCAGGCAATGAATCTGGAAAAAAAAATACTTGGTTTATGATTAATGAAAACAACATAAATAGCAAATATACACCAGAACAAAACAAATAGTATAACAAAGGGAATTATTTGGCAAATATACCATCTATTCATTCAAAACTCTGTACACTTATAACAACACTAACTCATTATCTAAGTATCATAAAGATGTGGTTAAAAACCAACATTTTTATTTCAACTGTTCAGAAATTAAGCTGCATGTTTTTAACTGTTGACAACACAGACCATTTTATACTGTACACAACAAAATGTCATAAAAAGAGAATGAAATTTTAAAATAACTTACTAGGTATAAGAGCAACGGGGCGAACTTTCAATGAAGATCCAATGACAATCAGCAAATCGCATTCATCCTTGTCAGCTGCCATTTGGTTGTGAAAATGTTCTGGCAGGCTCTCCCCAAAAAATACAATGTCTGGCTTCATGACAGCATTTACATTAGCGGGTGAGCAGCGTGGACATTGTGGGATCACCTAACACAAGGGATGGGAGAATGAGTCAACATTACACATGTTCTATGTAAAGAGATGTTCTTAGTTAAATTGATAAGCAAAAGGTCATTTAAAAATTCAACTGTTTTTGATGAAAGTGAACCTATGTCTATCATGTATATAACTTCACTGTTGAACCAATCGAACTTTTCTTGAATATGTATTAACAATGTTTAGATATCATTTTAAGAATATTCCTAAACGAAAAAGAACATTTATAGCAGTTATACACAGGCTTACTAATGAGCTTTCTTAAATTCGTCAATTGGAGTGCATAACTGATAAAAACAAACTTTTTATGATGCAAAAATGTAATAATATGGTCTAACATGTACCTGATTGAAGATATCTTCTTTAATTGCATCAGAACCAACTTTGTGGCCACACACAGCACATGTTGCTGTAGCAAATGACCCTAAAGTATAAATTGTTATCAAAATTAATTGGAGCTACATTTGGGGTAAATTATACTTAATAATAAAGACATAGTGTATAACGAACTATGAAACAATACAGATTTTAAAATGCTTTAATCAAGAGCAATGACAAAAAAATTTGCTCACAAAAATAATATGTAACGCCTCTTCTTACCATGACATTGCACAATCCGCTGTATACCAGCCACTTGCTCTAGTGTATCAATATTCTGAGTGTAATTCCTGAGTAGCTTTTCTTTTTCTTCCAGTAAACGAATAAAATGGTGGCAAGGAGATGGTTGGAATTGCCCAGGGTAAATCTCCTGGATATACAACATACAAGGAATGGTGAAACAGCAATGACTTTACAACAAGTAATTGAAGATTCCAAAACACGATAATGAAACAATTAGGGTTAATATATTTTTAGAAACCCACTTCCTAGTTACAGCCAACTATAAAAAATGATTGCAAAGTAAAATAAAAAAAAAACATGACTGGACTTTTCTTCAAAACCCATTTACCTTAGCAAACTTGAAAAATGGTCTGGGATCTGAACGGAAGAAATGAATATCAAACATGGCCTGTGGGTCTGGGAGATTTGGGAAGTCTTTAGCAAGTCTTGCATAAACACCATCTCGAGATCGAAAGTCGGGTATACCACAAGAAACAGAAACCTGAAAATATACCCAGGTATAGAATTTATAAGAAAAAAAAATAATATTTATTGCAAAAAACATGTTTTTAAAATTTAAATCAGGATATATTTATAACAACCTACCCCTGCCCCTGTGAGAACCATGATCTTCTTGCAGGTCCTGAGAAGCCCCAATACATCATCCAATGTATTGATACCATGAAGTTTTTTACGCTTTGGGGGCTCGGACACAATATTGATGATGATCTTCCATAACATTATTGGATCTAGGCCTTCTGGAATCAGTGTGCCAGTTGGAACCAAATCCTCCAAGATTTTGCGAGGACTCTGACCTCTCCTCATTTGTTCCTGCACCCATGCTATAGGACCTATGGGATGGGACAAAAAAAACATCTATTCATTCTATGAATAAAAAACTACTGTTTTTATGAAGGCCTATATTATGCAAGAGTTTTATTTAAGCAAATATTTTGAAATAATGTATAGAACATTTTTTAAAATATGTGTATTATAACAACACAATAATGAAAACCTTGAACGGGTTGCCAAGATTCTTGACTGAAGTCAGAAAAATCACTTATTTCACTAGCATTATCTGCTTCTTCTGTTTCCCGCCGAGCCTCCAATTGATGCTAGAAAAAACAAAAACGATAAAAGTAATAAAAAAAAAAACAACCTGTCTTTAAGTACCAACCATTCTAATTTTTAAAAGTGGAGATCACACCAAAAAAAAAAATATTTTACCTCATTACCAGGCTTCATTTCAGAATTACTGGTATTAGAATCTGGAAAAAAAAAGCTTGATTTAATTATAATAATTCACAATATAACAATGATTTTCAATTATCATTGATTTTATTCCAAATATTGAACATCTACAAAAAAGATGAATTAACTATTGAGCCTTCTTAATGCTTTGGCTTGCAGAAATTAACATCATGTGAGTCTTAGTGGACAGAGAAATTAGGGGAGGGAGAGAAGACTAGACTTCATGTAGTTATCCCCTAGATAAATTGAACACAAATAAAAATGATTATATTAAACTTCATTCTGATATGTAATATTCACGCAAAATGTTTTAAAACAACAAGCCATGAGCTGAGGAAGTGGATCACTGATCATACCTTACTATCTGATGTCTGTTTTTTTTGTTATGATTGTTGGTGGGGAGAGGTAAAATCCAACCTCTACTAAAATTAAAATAAACTAATGCATCAAGCAAATTAAGCCATTACCCAAAAGTGTGTAGTATTTAGTAAACTAGGCACATCTTGATAAATAATAAAATGTGTAGGCCTATTCTTAATACAGTTAAAATAAGATCTGGAGCTGAAAAAATAATATATATTAAAATATTTTTACTGCAACAATAGGGAGATTTATTTGCACATTATAATATTACATGAGAATACTGTTGTCATTATATCAAAACTATGAAAAAATATACCATTAATAACAATTTGGCAATGTAACGTACTTACAGTGACTACTTCCAAATGAGTATTAACTAATGTCAAAGTAAAATATCCAAAAACAAATATTTTTATTCACAAAAGATGTATCTGCTATGAAAACTTTCTTTCTCGACGAGTAAACTTTTGAAAAATTGAGCTTTTAACATATTAGAAATTAACCTTTACACAGCATGCAATCAGATCACAAAAACCATGTAGGCCTAAACAAAGAGAAAACCATTCTACTTTTTAAATACCACGAGCTGATCCGCGACGTAGCATACAACGCTATTTTTCAGTAATTCATAATTTATGAAATTTGCCACTACCAATGCTGCTACTGAAAATATTTTGCTTTAAAACATTATCAGTAGCTAGTGAAGGACGATTATCCTCACACTCACTTTCCACTCCGCCTTTGTGTAAGCAGCCGTCTGTTTACAGGCGACAATGAAAAGAGCAAGCAGAACATGCTATTATCTTATTATCTCCCCTTAGTTTCAAATAATTTAAAAACTAAATTATCTGCCCTTAATAGCCGCCACTATGATTGTAAACCCTCCCCCCCTCTAAAGAGATGCCTGGAAGAAGCTCTGCCTGACCGATACAGGCAACACTTGCATTTAATTAAGGCCAATGCTAGCCGGAAAAAGATATGCATGTGCAATGGAGAGAAACTACAACTTGCCTTAGCTGCGATGTTTTCGATGGAACTGAGCATGTATGTATTTACAACCGCAGAACCCTATTCCTAGCCATAGGTTACTGTGCAGAACTATCTTTTGCTGACTAGGTGGAGACGGTGGGGCGAAAAATCTTTTTCCGAGTAGTCACTTTGTTTAATTAAATACCTCCCCATTTTGCATCACGACTTTTTGCTCCACCTAAATTTACAACAATGGTGTAACTGTAGCTTTAGAATTTTATGCAGAAATTTAGCTAAAATCTAGATCTAGCTAGGCCAATGCAAAAATTTAATTTCAGTAAAACAATATAATAGTTACATATTTGGATAGGGGCTGTCAATCTGATTACAGATCAGTTTAAATTTTCAAAATCTGACCATAAACAAAAAAGTTATGAATTTTTTAGTCATTAAAAAACAGCAGTTTTTTCAGACAACCGGGGTAGACCCTGAAAGAGGAAAAATACTGGGAGGGTATGGACCAAATTTTTAAGCGTTTTTCACTAAAAGTGGTATAAAAGCCAGAATACTTTATCAATTGATGTAATTTTAAGACATTTTATAGATTTTTGTATGCTGAATCCAATGATGCTATTTTAAAAAGTGTCATTCGATTACTCAACCTACTAATCTCATAGATTATGTAATATCCCCCTTTCAATTTTTTTTAAACATCTAATAATCAATGTGATAAGAAGTCATTCTTTTAAATGTAACGCTGTTTTAATCTAAAATATGACATTTGTATAAGCTCAAGATAATGGTAGATTTAAAATGGTCCAACATTGTTACATAACTATCAAATGTTAAGGTTATGTAATCCCACCCTTTGCCCAAAATATACCATGAATTTGTTTTAAAATCACTTTTGCTTATTGTCAGTTAACTCCAAGTTAATAGCCTACTAGAAGAAAATATAACTAATCAAGTTTTTCAATACAAAGACAAGAATGCTATAGTAAATTTGTGATTATGTAACTTCTTAAAAGATGTTATGTAATCTATGTGCAATACCATAGGCCTACTCTATTCCAAAAATATAAGCCTCATTATAATTATATTTCTTGTTATTTTAAATATCTTAATCCTTTTTGCTAAAGAATTAGCCTAGTTACAAATGTGTCTGATCAGAATCAGAGTGTGCTTTATGGTAATTACATAATATTATTACCCATATTAAAGTTAATCATTTTTACAATGTCAATAAAATAAACTTGGGAGGAAAATATTTTGTTTAAAAACTTGCACAAGGTATAGTGTAAGTTATAGATATATAACATAAATTTATATTTATGCTCAATGATTAGGCTAGTAGTAAGTAGGTTTATGTATTTTGTAAGCCTACCAGTAGGCCTTTTACAATTAACAACTTTCTTAAGAAAAAAGCACGTGTTTGAGTGCTTGACTGTGTAGATCTAGTAGATTCTAGAAATTGTGTAAGATTGCCGTGTTTGGCTATACACAGACAGGTTAAACACCACCAGCTTTTGCCTAGATTTAGTTCAATCAGACATGTGGGTAACCAGGTCTTCTGACCAACGAATTTTATTGCCCTATTACGTAAACACTACAGCTGGATAGGCTAGTCGGCCAACCCGATGAACGTGTCAGACGAATATTATGTACTTTCAGAGACAAAAGTCTGGCAAGATTTCCTGATCTATGCCCGAGGGTTAGTAACATCAACTCCACAAAGTGAAGGGGGAGGGTGGTGGGGTATGAAACCACCGTGTACCGTACGGGTGTTATACAACATCAAAAGCGATGCGCGTCGGCTTGTCGCGTCACGGACTAGTGGGGGCGGGGTGAGGCTATGGGTGTTACATACGGTGTGGGATGGTCAGTGGCTACCCCCATCCACCCCACCCCATTTTGGTCGATTTGGCAAGCTAGTAACCCCCACGTTGTTAGTGGTATTAACATTTGTAGAAAAGAGCCCCGGATATAATTTAATTTATTTTTTAAAGCCAATTTTACGAAAAAGTAATGTACACAATTATGAAACGTTACACGAATCACATCACAGCATTGTTTGATCGGGCCGAAGCTATTCGGATTAATTTCTAAAGAAGATTAATTTTGACGATTAGTCCTCAGCCGTAAATACTAACAAAACTTTTGTTTGACGTTTCAATGGGTTAAGACAAAGTTATGCAACATGTCTGTGTGCTTATAAATATAAAGTAGTAATAGCCGTCGAGTCAAACACGGGAACACATGTATCTATCTTTAGACATTGTTTATAGTATCATCCAATCGGATCAAGCGCCTAGCGTCACGTGACCACACACTCGGCTGTGCTACACGATGTGTAGATCACCACAGCAGAGCGATTCAGTCGGACAGCGGCCGACGCGTTAATTTTTATTTTCGTTCGGTTTTAAAATGTATGGACGGCTTTATTACGAGGCGCTATAATACATGTTATACATTTAAATAAACGTCGAGATTTCGGGAATACAGCTCAGGGTTCAAATGTAAAATATGTCCAATAATAGACCGGGAAACTTGGTTCAACTTTGCGGTCCGATATCTCCCGAAGTATTTAACTTATTTTGACCACGAACCCTGAGCGTTATACGTCTACATTTAATGTATTCGTCTGCCAAATTTAACTGTTGTAGTACGTAAACTCGATACGTGTATACAAATTTTGTAACGCGTCATCAGGTTAAAGACGGCGATTCGAAGCACAGCAGGGCGGTTCAGTCGAACAGCGGTCGGCGCGTCGTGTTTATATTTTCGGTCCATTTCAAAGTCTATAGACGTCCTTATTATAGGGCCTTATAGGACATATGATACATATTAATAAACGTCGAGATTTCAGGAATACAGCTCAGGGTTCAAATAAAAAATCGGTCCATAAATAGCTCAAATAACTTAGTTTAACTTTGCGGTCCGATATCTCCGAAAGTATTTAACATATTTTAACCAAGAACCCTGAGCGTTATACGTGTACATTTAATCTATTCTTCTACCAAGTTTCACAGTTGTAGTACGAAAACTCACATAGTCTATAGACTCCAAGTAACACCCCCCTTTTAAAAAGGTGAAAAAGCCTCCCCCCTTATCGGCACGTCGCCGCGGAGGGTAAAAAATGCGATTTAATCGGCGATTTCTTCAACGTCTGAAATAATACAGAAATCAAACTAATACAGTTAAAAAGGTTATTCAATTACGAACAGAATGATGTATAACATGTTAATATAAACACAATAAAAGCATGCAAAAAACAGAGTTAAACATGCAGGGGGTAGGGAAAAGCCGATTTGTCCGATTTTCTCGGCAGCGGCATTGGCCTAGCTACTAGATCTACCCAAAATAATAGTTCTCGCTACCCCTTCTATTCTAGAAATGATCTAGAATCTAGCTTCTAGATCTAGTAATAGGTTAAATTATGGATTTTTTAAAATAAAATATTCTGTTATTTCAAATACACCATTAAGTTCCTTACCCCTTAAGAGAACATTTGACACCACATTTAAATATCTAGCTTACTCGGTTGACGAGAAAAGAGAGAATTTGAAAATTAATCAAAATTGAAAATGAATGACAAAACAGCGTTCTTGGCATAACATGACGTCGTCGACTTGTGTACACGAGCTTTTAATTCCCGCCATGGTAATTGCGTCAGCTTAGGTAATTTACTCACCGGAAAATAACAAAAAGCAACTGGTTGATAATAAAACTAGATCTAGTTATTTTATTATTTATTAAATTCTACTCTACATGTTATTCATACCATTTTATGAAGTAATGAACACCTGCATAAATCAAATGACCATAATAAATATTTTTTATTTCAAATTCTAATTTTAAATAATAAATAATAAATATGCTTAAAATAATATGATAGTAACAGTTATGATCGTTTATAAATACAAATACATTTTACACTCAATTCACATTATATTGAGTCAACAGTGTGGCAGCTGAGGTTCATACATGGTATTTTTTTTTTTTTTACATTACATTTTTTTTCATCTTGAAAACATGACGTATGTGATTTTTTTTTTTTTTAAATCTCCAAACATCGTCGCTCGCGTGATTGCTTGCTTACGTTTACTATCCTGTGGATGAAAAATCCCACCACGGTCGCGGGTCACCGTGAGTTCAGCAGGCCTATAGTACACGTCATAGCATGAACACGCGTACACGAGATGGTCGGTGTCTTCACTTCTCTCTCTCTTCCCCCCCCCCCTCCCTCTAGCCAATTGAAAAACAGACCTACTTCCCTACTTCTGGTCATTTTTTTTAAAAGTTCGGTCATTTTTTTTTAAGTTCACATATCAGGCATGCAAGACAGCCAGCCAGTGGCGTAGCGAGGTCGGGTGTTACCCGGTGCGGCACTTAATGGTGTCAGCCCCCCCCCCCCCAAAGGCGTAGCGACTCTTCCCGGGGACAAACTTTCTTTCAAATTTTCGATTTGCACCCCCCCCCCCTCAAACTTTCGATTTGCACCCACCCCCTCAAACTTTCGATTTGCACCCCCCCCCCCCCCCCCCCCGCAGCCAGCTGTATTAAAAAATATTTTTTAAACTAGATCTACGTCTAGCTTAAAAAAAATAAATAAACGCTTAAAATGCCCGTAAACAGATTATTTAGCGCCAAAAAAAAAAAAAAAAGGCCGCTGAACGAGCATTTTTTAAAATACGCAGCAATGAAAAGGGCTAACGGCCGATCAATTAAGTCTAAAAAACGCCCGTAATTAGGCCTAGCTCTGAAAAAGGCCACTGAACGAGCATCACTAATTATATAAACGAATAGGCCACGCAGCGTTGACGAGGTTAACCACCGGTCACAAATTAAATTCAATGCAGCTACTGTCGGCCCACAGTGAAGAAAAAATCAATATACTAATAAAATTACTAATACAAAAATAATTTCCATAATTTTACTTTTTCTGCACACGCTACAATTGAATTATAATTAAAATACTAGACTTAACAGTTCATTCCGCAAAAAACAAAAACGAGTTGTTTCTGTGAGGTAACTAGCGTAACAATGACGTCACGATAGTAAACAAAGCGGACAGAAATGTCTGCATGGGTACCTCATATGGAAATTCGATATAAAAAAGGCGAATCAACATAACTGTAATTACTCATTATAAATATCTCAATTATATATTTCTGCATTTGTACCAGGGGGTTTCGACCATGTACTGGGCCGTTTAAGGCGGCAGTTCAGTTTTTCCCAAGAGTACTTGACAAGAATAGCGTGTATTAATTAAAACCACATATCTGGCGATTTTTTCGGTTATTTTCAGGCATGGCGTCCATTTATTTAGCATATCGCATTAAAATAATGATGAGAATTTGCGATATTAGCAGTTTTTTCATTTGTCGTGGATAGGACCCCTAAAATAAACGTAAAAACCGTCAAAAAACGACGCGTGACGTTTCAGGGTCAGAGGTCAATCCAGCCATATAAGCAACAATCCGGCCTACTAGTAAGAAGATTGATACCTATGTGAATAGACTTTTAATCACTTTCACTTACCCGGAAATGAAGTTTTGCGATCATCATCGGTATTTTGTGAGTTTGCAATATCTAATCCTATTATTTGCGAAGCCTGTTGTGCATTCGCTGCATTATCACTCTCAACTGCGACAAGCAAACTTTCCTCCATATCCAACTCCCGAAAATTAGGAGAATGAAACTCCTGTGCCTGCTGAGGCACAGTTGAATTGATGTCAGAAAAATCTTGCGTATCTTGCATAATTTTTTATTAGAAAATCGGACTGTTAATTAAATAATTAACCTAAAAATATTAAATACAAATAAACGAGAGCAAAAGACAAAGTAATTCGAACTGTGTCAAACATCGAAATCGACTAAACGCTAAATGGTCTACGCATGCCCGGATGTTGTGATTTTTGGGGTTCATTCATTGTATTTAATGATAGCGACAATTAAATTAATTTGTAAAAGTTAATTTTACTACACAGATTGTTGATCAAAGTATATTCAGAAACAAAATTATACGCATTAGTAAATTAAACCTGAATTCTGAAAGCTGTTATTGAAATAATAATCTATTACTAAACAATTATGCTCCCAAAATTAAAAAACTATAAATAAGATGTGACGAGATGCAGAAACGAAGTAAATACTAAATAAATATTAAATCCTTGGGCCCAATTTTTAAAAAAATATTTATTTATTATTAGTTAGTCTAGATCATTGTAGATCTAGATCTAGAATATATACAAAATGAATAAATTGAGTGCTTTTGATGAAATCCTCAACTATAACAAATGCGCAGAACATGACTATTATTATATTCTAGGTTGTGATGAAACTTCATCTGTAAGTCGTCTTTTTTTTACGAAGTGACTATTCGCCGTTATTCGGAAAAAGATTTTTCTCCCCAACGTCTCCACTTAGTCGGCAAAAGATAGCTCTGCGCATGCGCAGTGACCTATGGCTAGGGTTAGGGATAGGATTAGTTAGGGTCAGTGTTTCTTCCAGACATTTTTCTCCAGGGGGGGGGGGGGGGGGGGCAGGGGGGTGGGGCACTGTTAAAAGTATATATTTTCAATATAAATTTCTTTTCGTTCAGGGGGGAGGGGGTAGACTTTCTTCAAGGAGTCCCTCCCCCCCCCCCCCCCCCCCCCGAAGAGATGCCTGGATGAAGAAAAAAAACGTGTTTGTTTTAAAATTTTAAATGGCTATGATATTATATATGATGATGTGACTGATTTTCTGTGATATGGTGGGTTAGTTTTTTAAGGAGTGTTGTTGTGATGCAATTGACCGTTCACTGCAGCTCATCAGACATGTGTCGTCTGCTAGATTTCTCGCCATTTAAATACACGGCGGACAAAATGGGTGGGCTTAGTTAGCTGTTGTCTCGATCAAGTTATTTTTTATAGGTTTTGTTCTTACCCTGCATGATTTTTAAAACATGAATGACATTAGTTTAGTAGAAAGCAAGTTATAATTTTCTATAGTTTAGAATATATTTTCAGTATGTTTAGAACAATATTTAATAAAGCAATTCATGTTTTACTTACTTTTATTATGTTCTGCTCGATATCCTTAGCAATTAGACCAAAAAATGTACAAATGGCAAGTTTGCATCAAACACTAATTGTCCATTGTTAAAACTAGACTGGTATAGTTGAATAATATGCAAAAATAACGATTTTAAGTATATATTTCTGAAATGACCATGAAACACTGTTTAAAAACGGAATCACAGTATTGTCGTTTTCGGCAGCCATCATTACCATGAAGATGGTAAAAAAAGGAGGTCAAACAACAGGCTAGTTCTAATCATTTGATAAGAAATATTTTAAAACGAGCCTACCCCTGGCGTAAGATGCGCTGCTACTTAGTTGTTTTATTTTCTACTTTTCAGTAATTCATAATTTGTGAATTCGACAGTACCAATGCTGCCACTGAAAATATTTGCTTTAAAGCACTATCAGTAGCTCGTTAAGGACGAATTATATATATAAATAATGTGTCTATAATTGCCTAGACTGAATGTAATATGATAACTACATGGTTCAAAAGGACGAGATCTTGAAATGAAAAGAGAAAAAAAATGGAATTATGAATGAATAAAGTAAAAATGGCTTTAATAAACTTTAATTGTAAAACTGTGAACAACAAAAAACATGTTGGGGGGTGGAGGTAGCTTTCATTTAATTAACAGGTTAATATTTTTTCTTTAATATATTTTTAAGTGTTACTTTGGAATAAACTAATAGTTGAAGCATTATTTTTTTTTCTTAAACTTTGAAAAAAAATAAATCAATTTTCAAAATGTAATCCTAGTTTATAATTTATAAATACAAATGCACAAGTCATAATATTTGAGCTCTATTGGCTTTTACTGTTTTACCAAATCAGAGCTGAGAAATATTTATAAAACTCAGGCTACTACTACTACACAGGTTATTAAAAATGTTTTTAGAATGTTTTTTTTTTTTACAAAATCTACATACTGGTACAGTTTTTAACTTGCCTCAAACATATTAAAAAATATTTCACAGGAGGAGCAAATTACTTCAGAATACAAGTCACGAGTACTTTCCTGTCATCCGGACAAACATCCAAATGATCCCACAGCTCGTAAGATTTTTACTTAAATGTGATTTGCATATTAGAGATAATTTATTTTCCTTACTTAAAACTTTTAGAACACATGCAAATATTAGGACAGGGCCCATAACTCTTTTCTATTTTTTTTCTTAGGAAGTTTATGCTGAAAACAAAATTTAAAACTAATGTAATACATTATTACTTCACCAATACATTATTACTTCAACATTTCTGGCACTTTACTTTCTGCAGATAAAAAGTTTTCAGCTTTATCACAAGCCAAGGAAGTTCTGCTAAATCCAGAGAAGAGAAAGGAGTATGACCAATGGAGGCACAGCAATATTGCTATTTCTTTTGAGACTTGGAAATCACTCCCTCAAGTTAAAACAGTAATTATTGCCCTTTAAATTTTGCAATAGATTTTTATCATTTCTATAGGTAATTTTAATAAATAACTTTTTTGAGTTTTAACAGTTTCAAGGCAAACTTTGATCTATTCACAGTCAATGCATTGGGGATACCACAAGGATCAGGCTTCAGTTAGCTACCCAGAAATGCCTGAACCGCAACCAACATTAGTCCCTATTTCACAGCCCACAAAGAGCCAAAGTTTAATAAACACTGAAGAAAAGTTAAAATTTCAACTTAGAGGTAACGACCTATTAGAAAAATAGTTTTTAAACATACTTACATATAAGATTTTCTTTACTACTAACAGTTAGATTTTATCATTCAAACATTCTACTGTTTAATATTAGTGATGCATAATGGCATAGAGGAGACATTTAACAAAAAAATAAAAAAATTAATTTACAGAACAGCCAGTAGATAGCTCTAGAAATGGATGGGACAGACAAGATCCCAGTCCTTTGCTGGAAAAGTTCAGGAGCTACCAGATATGATGCCTGCGGTTAACATCACATCCCACCTTCTTACTTGGGATTTATAGAAAACTTTGACCAGATGAAATGGCTTTTTGCTAGCATCACTTGCTGCCTATTTAAATGTGATATGTAGAACACTTTAGCAGCTGCCAGTGTCTAAATGAAACTTCATTTCAATATATCATGTATTGTGTATGTTTTGAGTTTTTGAAAATGAAGCTCTTTGATTATCATCTCCATATCATCTCCCTGGTTGTGCCCAAGACACATAAGGCAGGTGAAGCAGAGTTCATCTGTTTCAATGACCGCGGCTTACGAGGTATAGTGTGATTAACACTATGCCATTAGTTTTCCTAATGTTAGTCAGGTATCCATCAGAGTTGGGTGGACTCAGGGGCATCCTAAAGGCTTCGGTATGTCTAGATTTACAATGTTTAGCCACACAGACAAACAGTTGACATTTTATGAATATTAGACTTGATTTGATCGATACTAAAGCTTCATGTAATTTTGGTCTGTTATTGAAGTCATATTCCACAATAGAAATGATTAATTTCTAATTAATAGTTAATACATTTTTTCTCAACCCTAAAAGTTATTGACATAATTATAAAATAGAACACTATTATTTAAGTGTACAGAAATTGTAGTTTCTTTTTGAAATGCGTGAATAAATTTTGAGAGTTGTTGAGTTGATAGAACTGCTGATTGATTGATTTAAAATCATTCCTTTATTTTATTAGTTCTAAACTATTTACAATATATTGACTGTGATATTTACGTTTTTATTTTGTAAAACTGCTATAATGTTTTAAATTATTTACTAGTCAATGTGTAATACTATTGTTAAGAGTACCATGCTATGTATTTTTATGCTGTTAACCAGAACTAGAAACACTGTAGTTATGAATTTGGAAAAACTGTAATAGGTAAAATGCATTATGCAATATTTGCATGTTAGAAGTGTAGGATTGTTTTTGAGTTTTGAGCATTAAAAGTTACTGCTTAACATGCAATGTATGTTTGTTGTTGTATACTTATGTTCACAATGTCTTTTAGTCCTATTAAGAAAATGGATAGCAAATTGAAATCTTCAACTTGTCCTATATACGGGTCAGCATAGTCGGTTGGTGGAATGCACTATTGCTAAGTCAAAGGTCTTGAGCTTGGATCCCAGTCCGTACGACATTACTGACTTGACCCTGCTGATGTGTACTTGATCTATGTATATATCACGGCAACTGGCATGGAATTGATCTCACTAAACCATCTTATCTTATACTTAAGATGACAGAAACTTCATCTGCCCTATTGAATGACTGATCCAAAAGTTTAACTGTACACTTGACAAGTATGAGATTTTATTTAATTTAAGACCTACTTAACTAACTAATGTAAATTTTAAAATTTGTAAGAGGGGGATGGGGGTAATTGATAAGAGGATGGGGGGGGGGGGGATGGGGGTAATTGATAAGATGAGCAGGGGGGGGGGGGGGTAATTGATAAGAGGATTGTCCGGGATGTTGGGCTATAATCTGCTTTGATTTGGGTTTCATAACAAACAAGCAGCAGTTTATTTACTTTTTATTTTTTACAAATATACATAAATTATGTAGACAAAATAGTTTATTAAGAACTTCTTGAATAATACTTTGATATATAAAGCAAAAGCCTTGACATATCTCTAGCCGATTATTTTATTTACCATTGCAAGGGCCCCTGGGCCATTATCTGTTGGAACCTAAAAATAATATTAAAAAGATTAACTTAAGACAGAATGTATATAAGTGTTTCATGAAAAATTGCTAACGGTTCAGTAAAATCAACACATTACTACAATGAATAAACTGGCTCATTTTAAAAAAAATAAGTAGTGCACACGTTTCAAATAAAATTCATGAAATTATCAAACGAGCGCTGACAACATTAATTGCTTATATATCTGCCACAGCATAACTCTTACCATGTGACCTGCATCCAATATCCAATAGAACTGCAAGTTCTCAAACTGTTTTACATAAAAACAAACACCTGGTTTATTGTCGCACTGGACGTCTTGCTTTGTTGCCTTCTGGAATGGTGTTGATTTGTCAATAGTTTTATAGAACCAAGTTTCTGTTCCTGGAGAAATTATTCAAATGGTACAGATTTTTAACACAGTATAGAATTAACTTCAAGTTAGTCATACAAACCAAGTATTCAGATCTGAGATATTTACTTTCAATAATAACTAGTTACATGTAAAATTGGGATTCAATTTGTCAAATACACTAATAGAATTCAATACATGCACATTTAGTTATTGTTCTGCTTAACATAATCAAATAAAATCCTCAATGAATATAGATACCTCACAACACACTGAAGTATTTTTATTTTTACTTATTTATCACAACACAGTTTTTATTGTGTCATAAGCCATGTAGTAATAGTAGTTAAAACTAAAACAGTTGTGTATTTACCCAACACATCACATATAAGATCCAGCTGACCACTGTAAATAATGACCTTCAGCTTGGAGTTGTTGACAAGATTGTTGACTAAGATAAATACAAAAGATGGTGATAATTGTTTCAAACATCAACATAAGCACAATAAATTTTTTTTAAAATAAATTGAAATTAAAAACGAGCTTAATTAAGTCATGTGTATGATGAAGTACCTGTGCTTGTTACATTCTTCATGAAATCTGCTGCTTGTTTTTCAAAGACTTCCCCTGCCTGACCTGACATTTTACAAAGAGCAAAAAAACATTTAAAAAAATAATAATAATGTAACTAATTAATTTTATTTACAACAAAATAAAATGCATTCATTCTCTAAATAACTTGCTAAGGTTTATCGTACAGTGCAATACATGCAGAAATCTTAACGTTATTCTTCCACTACTTATTTCAAAGTTAATCAATAATAATTAATTACCCTGATTTTTTTTTTTGACACTAAAACTTATTAAACTGTTATTATCTAATTGAATTATAATTGAAAAAATGAAAATTATCATCAAACTTAACATAGTGTCTTTTATAGAAATGTATTAAGTGGTAAGCTTTCTGTCCTTGGCAAGGTATTTATTTTGGTAAAAAATGACATGGACTAAGGCAAATATTAATAATTAAAAGAGCTATAAATCATGGCTTTTAGAACAGATATTAGAGGCTTTGGGTAAAAAAAAAACAATCTCTAAATGTATTGTTATTTTTTTATACTAACCTCCCCATGTGACATGGTCTGGAATTATCTTAAGCTTTTCTTTTATAGGGCCATTCATAAGTTGGTCTAAGTCATCGTTTGCCATAACACCAACATGGCGCTGGTAAAGGTTCTCTAGAAAAAAATGTTTACTATTCTCACATTTCTCCTGATAAACATTAAGTCATCACTGTTGATCAATATTTTTAAAAAGTTAAATTATACAGGATTATAAGATATGTGATGCTTATGGTAGGTCAAGAGGGATTTTAAAGTTGATTATTGTTTTAAAAAAAACTGATTATAAAAACTTTTAGTAAAAACACACCTAATGGGTTTCGATAGACTTTTTTTTGTTGACTAGAAGACCCAACCCAGTCCAAGATATTATAAAAGTTGACACCAGCGCTCTCTGATTCCACTGTTGCCTCTGCTGTGCTCCAAGCAGCTGTTGCTTCTATGAATTTACCTGATGATAAATATGTACATTATTGTAGTTAAGATAGTAAATAGTGAAAACGAAAATCTCACAAAAAGAAAAGCACTACAATGTTTTAATTTTAGCATAGTATATTGATCTGTCAAATAATTTCACCTAAAATATTTAAAACATGGGTAAAAATAATTCTTTGCATTTTGGTAGTCATAATTTTTAAGTTATATTAGGTATTTGCATAATTACTTTTTTTATAAATTAATAGTATTCGAACAGTTTTGATTTTATTTTAAGTTTATATTTCCTCATCTTCTTATATATCTTTGTATTTGTAAAACAACTGTATGTTACAGTAATGGTAAAAATATTCAATACAGTACTATGTAAAACAAATGATAAATATGAATGACTTGTATACTACCTTGTTGGACAAGATCAGAAACTTTTTTTGCGACCGCATTAATTCTGTTCATGCCAGGCAGGTCAACAATAGACTAGAAAAAATTAGCATAACTTATTTTTTAAATTTTGTAATGTCAATATAGATTCATTTTACATTTGAACAATGCAGAGAGTTATTATTTAAAATGATTTAATTAAAACAATGTACTGTAGCATAGAGGAATGGACCCCATGAGTTGACTGAGTCTACAGGAGATATCCATGAGTCACCCATGGCAAAACCTTGAAAGTTCATTGAAATTTGACCTTTCTGTATGGCCTGCAAAAGTGGAAACATGTAATCAATATTACATACATTACATACATATTCAGAATAAATGAAACAAGTATAAAACAAGATAATTTGATTATCTATATTCTTATGATTCATTTATCATTTTATTACAAAGGTACGAATATGCTTAGATTTTTAAAAATGTATCAAAATCTGATTTAGGTAAAAAAAAATTATTTATTTGAATTTTGCATAAAATATACCAATTTTTGTAGAAATTGATAACACAAATAAGTATCAATCCTACAGTTGCCTTGAGCTTTGTTTATTTAAAACAAATGGTCATTAGATTTTCAAATATTTTTTTTTGCCTCTAGTTTACGGAGATGTTGGCAAAATTTTAAAATTTTTAGCTTACATGTTTAGCTTACATGTGGGGTCTAATAAAAATAGCATTTACTTTAAGAAGTGTGAGACTTACTAAATTAGCTTGTATTTAATTAAAGGTTAATGGTCATTTCATTATCTATTGACCATAAAGATATTTTAAAGAAATTTTTCACAATGTTGATATTTTAAAGAAATTTTTTACAATGTTGATTCGCTTACATTATACAGTTCCAATCTCAAGAGTTACTTACATTATACAGTACAGCACTAAAGTCTGCTGTCATCTTTCCGCCATAGGATTCAGAAAATATGTAAAAAGGAACTTCCTACAAATAAAATAAAAAACACATTTTAAAAAAAATGAATACATTAATTTGTTTTTGTGAAGTAGTCAGTTTTTTTATCAGGAGCAAGTTGTGCATCTAACTTAACAAGTTCTAAAATCTGTCTGCATTTGTAAGTAGTCTACCAAATAGGGCGGATGGTAGAGATTGGGATTATTTGAATAAGTTGGTTAGTCTACCAATAGGGTGGATGGTACAGTATGTGATAGCATGGATAAGCTTGTTAGTCTACCAAAAGGGTGGATGGTACAGTATGTGATAGCATGGATAAGCTGGTTAGTCTACCAATAGGGTGGATGGTACAGTATGTGATAGCATGGATAAGCTTGTTAGTCTACCAAAAGGGTGGATGGTACAGTATGTGATCACATGACTAAGCTGGTGAAAGTCGACACAGCTGCAGATAATACTGATTACATAATTCATCAAAATGCCGACATCCAATTAAACTATTATTTCAACTGCACCTTTAAACCACCTATCTACAACACCAACAGCTGTTTTGAATGTAGATATCTTTACAGTGAAACAATGTGTTAACAGAACAAAGGTGACAATACCTTGAAGTCTGGGAAAGACTGTATAAAGGACTTCATTAGAGTGAGCAGGTCTGCAGAGATTTCAGCCACGTTGGTTGTAAAAGCCGAGCTGTCCTCAGCATAGCTGTAGCCTGTACCCACAGGGTTGTCAACAAACAGCAGGCTGGCTGTCTGAAGCTGTTGTTTGACAGAGACACAATAGTACAAAAACAACAGATTGGCTTTTAGACAAAGCTGTATATTTAAATATGGTATTTTAGAAACAAAATTGTATACAGTAGAATGGCTGCTTGAAGCTGAGTTTTTTAATGCATTAATAAGAGTTTTATAAAGACCCAGACCATAACATTTAAAGATAGCAAATAAATATATCCAAGGCATCTATTCTTGGTATTTGTTACTCCAAGAAAACATTTTTTAGATTGGTAACTACAACATTTGGAAATGTTTTATATCTAAGATAGATATTAAGTAATGTATAGTTTTGAAATTAAACTGAACAAATAAAAAAATAAAAATGAAAAATAAAAAACCAGTAAAAAGAAATTATTACCCAAGTTGTATTCCTAGGCTGGAGGTTAACATCCAAGGGACCTAACTCTGCAAAATTTCCAAAACCAGTTCCAGAACCTCCTGGTCCACCCTGGAAAGAAAATTTAAATTGTTTCAGTGATTGATTCAAGAGTGAATATCACCTATATACTCACTGTATTATGCCAGTGAATGGCGTGCTCATATGGTAGTGCTAACAACAGCTAACTCAAAAGTCTTAAGTTTGAATCACAGGTTTGAGTCTTTAGGATGTATCTTAGACCACTCAGCTCTTATAGACACCTGACTCAAGTTAAGGAAACCAAGGCAGCTGGACACAGTGCTGACTACACTATCCCTTTACTACCAAATTCACTGAAACAAATGAACTCTACTTCATCTGCCTCATATGTCTAAGGCATGAAAGGGTAGAGATGATGATTATGCCAGTGTATAGAACTGCATTATGGGTCCCAGATATATCAACAGTAACAATAACATGTAGCCAAATAAAGTAAAAATACACAATCCAGAGTTGTGTCCCTTACCTGTAGCCATAAAATTAGTGGGCGGTTTTTATAACTTTGTGGGTGTGTCGTATAATACAGCCAATAGAAGAGATGAGCTTTAGGGCGCACAGTGACATAATTCCACGCCTGCTGAGGCTCTGAGAGTGGATCTACACTCATGTGATGAAGGAACCCTGTCAAATAGAATTTCATTGGATACTTGTTTTAAAGCCCAATTTTTTAATAGTCAGACAATCCTGTGATTATCCTTTAGGCCTAATCCTAACCAAGAATCAATTCAACCTAAATATATATAAAAGCTAAATGGGGTTTGTTTGATTCTCACACCTCTTAAACTGGGTATTGATAGGAAAGTATCAGATGAATTGCCCTTTACAAAATTTGCTGTTCACTGTCTCTAACCAGTAAATTAGAACCATCTCTACAATGGCGTTCAAAGTAACCAAAACTAACATAGAGTGAACACTGCCTGATATAAGGTAAACATTTTTTAAAGAACCACCACTTGCAGATGCAATAAAACTTGATATTTGGTTAGGAGATAGGTGGCTGGAAAAATACCAGATTCTCAGAAATATCATATCATGGGGTTGAAAATTGATTCTCTTAAACTGCTCAATTTTACTTATCAAAGAGATGTGATTGCATCATGCATTTAAAATTTTAATTTCCCCGTTCTTTGACTACACAAAAATAAACAAAGAAAACATTAGGAAAAAAAATGCCTTTAAAATTTTTACTAAATTGTTTTCAAATAGCAGTGAAAATAAATTAGTAATGACTACTACATTTTTTTATTGGTAGCTGATGACAAAGCAAAAAGTGAAAGATAAACAATGAAGTTCATTAGGTACCATAGAGTCAAAATCTGCTACAGCCAGATTTTTTAGGCTGTTTCTCTGATGAAGATGATTCAACCATAGTCTGTCATTTACTCGAGCACTAACTATACAAGTATCATCATCAGCTTTACCATTATGGTAAGAAACAAAAGGGGACTGAAATAACATGTTACACTATAAGTAATTTTAAGATCACAGGCCGTTTAACTTAAGTGGCTTAAAGAGGTTTAGTGATATAGGCCATGACTATAGTATACATGAGCTGGCAGTTGATAATAATTAAAAGATAACAGGCTCTTGAGTCTTAAGATTAAGTGATTAAGATAGTAGTCATGTAACCTAGAAAAGGGCACAGAGGAAGTTTTGAAGAAGTTTAGATCACATGAGCCAATAAAAATTAAAACATTCCGTCAAAAATAATTGTGTGACGAATATAATATCAATGTAATTACACACATTATGATTTAACGTACACAAATTAATTCTAAAGTGTTTGTGTATATATAATTAACATTTTATGGAAAAAAAACATCAGCAATATTATACAATTCTATGTCTTTCTCACCTCATTCATACAATCTTTAAAGTTTTGTGGTGTTGTCTGTATTGTTGGCTTTATTATATTAGCCTATTGTATTGAATTTATATTTAACTCAATGCAACAAGCCCCCCACCCCTTATTACTTGAGGCCATGCCAGGGGTTCGCTCTGCAAGGGATATCAAGGGTCGACTCAAAATATCGTCCATTATGTTAAACTATTTATAGGCCTAATATCAATAAATTAATATTTAGGCCTAGGCATATCTTATTTCTATATTAGGACACATGTAAAATTAATTAATTAATTAGGCTTATTTAGGCTAATGTTAAATATCATAGTTATAATACATTATTTAGGCCTAATCCTAATAAAAAAGTAGGCCTAATAATAAGTATTTTTAATTATTAGATTACTTTACTAATTACAGAATAATAGTACTAATTACTAATTTAAATATTTTAAATTTTGCTAATCTATCGTTTTAGTACGTAAAATCTGCAGAGACTAGTAATGTGAAAAAAGGGTGACAATAAATTTTAGTTATTATTTCACATTTTTAGGAGGATTTAAGTTTTGAATATTATAATAATGTTTGTAAGTTTTATTCATGTCCTGTTTTTAAACTATTAAAACTTTTTGGTAAAAAATAAAGAATAGCCACGTTTTCATCCGATGCTGCCAAGTTTATAATACTATTTATATAGCAAATCTTGATTGCAAACACTGCTGTTTAAAGATACTATCTGCATTATCTGGCCTATAGGCCTAATAATAATACTTATTATTATTATTTAGTTTAATTCAGTTAGCCTATCTATAATATTTGACACAAATATATCACAATATACTTCTATGAGGCAACTTTTTTTCAAATTACTAGACTCGGCTGATTTTACCTCCCGCACCTAAAGCGATAATATTATTAGGTAATCTATCGTTTTAAGTACGTAAAATCGGCCGAGGTTAGTAATGTGCGAGAAAAGTGTCTCATTAATATGGCTTTAGCCTTTAATACAAGTATATTATTATATTTTGTGTCAAGTATAATAGATAATTCAATAATAAACAAAAAGCAATGTCCTAATATTAAATATATCAATAAAGGCCAGAAATTAACTTTAAACAGCCTTGTTTGCGAGCAAGGTTTGACAGCAGCCATCTGTAAATTAAGAGTGGTTTCCCCTGAATCTCTAGCTAAAATGTTATCAAAAAACTTAAAAGTAAATGAGCTTGTTTGCATCTCTGATGAAAACATCGCTAATATATTTCTTTATTACTGAAAAGTTTTAATACAATTGTTTAAAAACAGGTACTTTAATGAAACTTTGAAACATTTTTGTAACTTTTAAAACATAAACCCTCCTAAAAATGTGAAATAATTACAAAAAATTGATGAGTCACCCTTTTTTTCACATTACTAGAAGAATCTAGCCTCGGCCGATTTTACGTACCTACAAAACGATAGATTACTACAATTACTAGAGCTATTCTTATTTTTATAGATTACCTAGATGTCTAAGCCAAAATTAAAATATTTTTTATTACCTGAATCATGTTTCTGAAATGTAGATTTATATTTAAGTTGATTTACATTATGCGATCTAGTTGCACAAATAAAATAAAATATTACAAATAAATAGAGAAAGAAACTGCTGAAAACACCCCTGAAGGATATCATTTTTTGTGTATTTATTTACTAAAATTAGATCTGAAGATGCAGCCTTTTATTTAGCTTTCCAAATGTTTAGTTTTAACACAGAAATATGCAATGTCACATGATCAACTAAAACTGCCAGATTAAAATGGAAAAATATAATTAAAGTTTAAAAAAAAGGCTAGGGTAATTTTACTAATTTAATTTATAAACATTAGGCCTAAACAGTTTTAAAATATGTTTTTAATTTGTTTGGCAACTAGATATATTATTTATTTTGCTTAATTGTCTTAAATGAGATTGTTTTGTTGCATTCCGCGCAATTTATAAAAAAAATAATAATTGATTAACCCAGAATTTTAATCAAACATTAAGGATATTTTATGTATACAATTAAATAAAATAAGCCAGCATGACACTTCTCAAAAGTCATGTGACTTCTAAAATTAGAAAGTAAACCTACTGTTAGCAGTATGCCCATTAGGCATTGAATAAAAACAACTCTATCAAAAGGAACAACTCCATCAGACGCTGCAATTAAGCTATACCGATGTTCTATAGAGATTGAAATATATAGATCTAATAACTTTGAATTATTTATTTGCGATGCTAAATTATTTGAACATGCATAAACTATCTGCTATTGAGCATAGGACCAATGTTCGTAATGACCCCTCGTAAACAATGAACTGTTACTTAATTATTTAATCCCCTTGTCTATTTAAAAGAAAAAAAAATAAGTCGATGACATAAGTAAACAATTATTTTAGTTCTGAAGTTATAATGTTTAACATTTATCCAGATTCTACATACAACGTAAGCACTCTGAATGAGTTTAAGTGATTAATAAATTGATGGTCAATTTAGAATCTATATAAACATACGTGCATTTTTAAAATTTAGAAATAACAACCTTGCTTAATTGTGTTCAAGTTATATAGTTGCAACATAACTGCAAATTATACACAAAAACATTGTCGTAATACTAATTTTATTGTAATGCAAAAACGTTAAAAAAAAAAACTTTAAAATCTGGCTAGCCTAAATGTGCAGTGGTCCTCAACTGATGTCACCGTTGGGCATAAATGTCCCAATAAATAGTCACAAGCAAAAAAATAAAAAAAATAAAAAATAAAAAATAAATAAATAAAAAATTGAAAGTATTACCTACGCAAGGCATTGATCTGTTGTTAAATTAACTTTTCAATATGTACATTGGACTCAGTCATATACTACTATACGGGTTTGAACATGGTTAGTTTCATTTATATTAATATTTAATATTTATAGTCGGCGTTTGTCAAAATGTGATAAAAATGGAGGTGAGTATAGATCTATATCACGACTCTATATCTAGATCTATTTAAACAAGTGTTGATATATTGTATACACTATACTATAGTGAATAGTGCTACCCCATCTCTCTATTTATTAAGAGAATGAGCATTATTTTAAAATTCGTGTTAGGGTTAACATCCGCATGATACACGACGTAATAGTTTTTCTTCTTTTTAAAGTTATGAAGTTTTAAACTTAGTGTAATAATAATAAACAGTCGAATTTAATGTATTCTTCTGGGCTTTGTACATACATATGTTATACAATGAGAGCTATAAAGTCATGTAACACTCTCATAGAATACTTTTACCAGTATCAACCCCCCCCCCCCGGAAAATTTAGATTTAGTCCGCCCCGCCCCCCCCCCTCGAAAATTTCAAGTGCCCCCCGCAGAGGCGCAGCGAACCTTCCCGGCGCCCGGGGACAAACTTTCAATTTGACGCCACCCCCCTCTCGGGAACGACCTTTCAATTTTCAATTTGCGCCCCCTCAAATTTTCCATTTGCACCCCCCCCCAATATATTTTTTTATATTTATAATGCAAAACTGCAGCGAACATGAGATTAAAATTTGTTTTTCCAACCCATTTTGGTCGGCGCCCGGGGACATATGTACCCCCTCCGCCCCCTCCCTTGCTACGCCTCTGCACCCCCCCCCCGTCCCCAAAGAAAAAAGTCTGAAAGAACCACCTAACACTACCCTTTACTATTATTAGACTATTAGAGTCTAATAATATTAGACAGATAAAGAAATGATGATCGATAGACACAGTATTACAACAATAAACCCCCGAAAAAAATGCATGAAAGAAACTCTGATATCAAAATTGAAGTGCATTTCAGTCTTGCTACTAAATTAGCAACAAAATGGTGAATTTTATTCACGCCTACATGTGCAACGCTATTTATATTATTATACTGGGTCATATAAAATAATATTGGAACCATTGATAGATCTATATGGTTTAATAAAAAACTACTGTAACAAGTAAGGCGTTTGTGACAGTGACAAGCACTAAAGTTTAGGTGTGGTCAAACACACAACAGTACAAAGACAACACTTTAATCCATCATCATTTAATTTAATTTAAAAAAATCAAAATGAGTAACCTTTGTTGTAAATCTAGATCTAGATCTAGATCTAGATCTACGTGGTTTGTGATACTGTGTTTAACGGTGAATTATTTTCATACTGGATTTGCTACGAGTGATGTTGACCCCACAGACTCAGAGGCAAGAAGTGTTGCCAACAGCTTCAACCAAAATCTCGGTGACCAAAAATGTATGTTTTTATTTTAATAAGGCATAAGGTCGTAAAATTTAGATCTAGATCTAGAGTTGATAATTTCAGGCAAAAAATATGCTTCTGTCAGGAAAATAAATAATAAAAATTGTAGGGGCAGGGGCCTATTTCATGAGTTTTTTTTTAGAAAACAAAAGAACCTCCATTTGTCTACAAAAATCATAGATTTCTAGACTAGATCGAATTAGATCTAGAATCTAGATCTAGATCTAGCTAAAATATTTAAATTTTGGTTAATTTTATAATGTGGTGGCTTAAACGTTTAGATATGGCTGCTTAACTGAGCTCCACAGTGTTATACAATGCAGTTTTACCAAAAATTTTTTTTAAAATGTAAAATCAACCCAATAAGAAACTAGCGATAGATCTATGTCCTAGATTTATGATTAATTACTTGGATTAGGAAAAACAACAAATTAAATTTAAATAGAGAACATTTTACTGGACACTTGGAGCGTCATTATAGCATGGCAGGCCGGCTTGTCGAACGCTGCGAGTGTTGTTCTGTCTTTGAGAGTTTACCTTGAGTGTTAAAAATAACTTTTACAAGTAGGTGCATAGATTTAAAAAAAAAATCTCTATGCCTAAACTAAGAGCTTAACTTTGGTATGTTGTAAAATGATATTAGGTGATGTAAGTTAACTGTTATTATTACGATTTCATTGCAATTTTATTAAATATTAATAAGAGCTGAATTTAAATAAATCATCTTAAAGATTTGATGTATATTGAATGTTCTCTATTAAAATCATAAAATTACTTTTTACAGTAAGTAAACCTACAGTAACTGATGGTGATTCAGTAGAAATAGACACATCATTAAAGAAAGAAAGTAAAGAGATTCAGCCTCCGAAGCTGCCAGAAAATTCAGATGATGATAAAAATGACAAGTTGATCTCTCAAACCCCCACAGATCTGCAACAAGAGCTTGCAGATGTTGATATTGACCAACCTTCAGCAGATGACAAGCAAAACTCTCAAACGGAAAATAAAAAACCATCAGTTGAAGTGCAGCCCACTAATAGAGATCCACCACAACTTGCAGATGTTGTTCAGCTTTTGGAGAATGATGATAGTGATAAGGTGAACTCTCAAATAGCTATTGAAAATAAAAAATCATCAGTTGAAGTGCAGCCAACAGATAAAGATCCACCACAACTTGCAGATGTTGTTCAGCTTTTGGAGAATGATGATAGTGATAAGGTGAACTCTCAAATAGATAATAAAAATAAAAAATCATCACTTGAAGTGCAGCCCACTAATAGAGATCCACCACAACTTGCAGATGTTGACCAGCTTTTGGAGAATGATGATAGTGATAAGGGGAACTCTCAAACGGAAAGTAAAAAATCATCAGTTGAAGTGCAGCCCACTAATAGAGATCCACCACAACTTGCAGATGTTGACCAGCTCTTGGAGAATGATGATAATGATAAGGTGAACTCTCAAACGGAAAGTAAAAAATCATCAGTTGAAGTGCAGCCCACTAATAGAGATCCACCACAACTTGCAGATGTTGACCAGCTCTTGGAGAATGATGATAATGATAAGGTGAACTCTCAAACGGAAAGTAAAAAATCATCAGTTGAAGTGCAGCCCACTAATAGAGATCCACCACAACTTGCAGATGTTGACCAGCTCTTGGAGAATGATGATAATGATAAGGTGAACTCTCAAACGGAAAGTAAAAAATCATCAGTTGAAGTGCAGCCAACAGATAAAGATCCACCACAACTTGCAGATGTTGACCAGCTTTTGGAGAATGATGATAGTGATAAGGTGGACTCTCAAATAGATAATAAAAATAAAAAATCATCAGTTGAAGTGCAGCCCACAGATAAAGATCCACCACAACTTGCAGATGTTGACCAGCTTTTGGAGAATGATGATAGTGATAAGGTGCGAACATCAGTTGAAGAGAAACCCACTGAAAAAGATCTGCCCCAGCGTGCAGATGGGTATCGCCAATTTCTGGGTAATAATGACAAAGACAAGTCAAGTATTCAAACAGCTAATGATAATGGAATAAAAAAAACATCAGATGACATGGAGCCCACTAAAACAGACCCGCCACTACTTGCAGATGTTGACCAATTTTTGGAGAACGATGATCAAGATCAATCAAACTCTCAAACTGTCAATGAAAACGAAATTATTAAACCAACTGAAGCGCAGTCCCAGCTTAACGATGTTAAAGATGAACTTGCAGATGATAAAGATGATAATTCTAACTCTGAAACAGTCACAGATAGTGGTATACCAGGTGTAGATTACGATGCAGCAGATGACAAGCAAGATTCTGATACATCTCCTGAAAATAAATTTGTTCCTAACTCTGCTGAAAAGAAAAAGATGTATCCATATCAACGTTCTCAGTTTCCTCAAGGAAATTTAAATCCCAATGAAAATGTTCCACCGTCAAATTCAAATTCTGTCTATAAATCGTACAACAAACCTTCTCAAGCAGCAGCTCCAACGGATAGTCAAGACGAGGATGATGATGAACCAGATGAAAACCAAGATGCAGACCTAGAGAAAATGACAGTAAATGGAGGCCGTACACAACCAGTGGCTAATAATAATAGTCCATTGTATGATGAAACAGGTAACCATATTTTGTGTTTTTGTGTGTTAGGATGATGCTAATTTTCTTGTGTGGTCTTCGCTTCAGTTTATAGTTTGAAGTTTTTTTAATTTGACCCCTTGACCTGATCAAATGTCAGCTGGTGTCAGTTGCCATCCAACCAAAGCCTTCTTGCTGCTCATTCAAGTGTGAACCTTCTTAAAAGTCTGTTTATGGGGAACTTGGTTATGGTAACTCCAGGCGAGAGGGGGTGTGTGTGTGTGTGTTGAGTGTTTACCACTTACCACAATCACCTGAATTTTAAGTACAGGATTTCAGATACACATGGGAATAAAATACAAAGATTTTGGATGCTTTTAGGGTTTATTGCACAGCAACAGACGACACATTTCAAGAAAACAAAGACCTTTTAACACCACTCTTTCGCCCCTCCCCACACACATACATGAAAACCCAGACATGATTTCATTAGCTACCCACCTTTTGATAACATCACCTGAAACTCCTGGGAACACTAATAACACATTTTCCCCCATTCAGTCATCCATTTATTTGTTATGCTACGAAAAAAATTCTTAATACTCTCCATCCCAAGATAAATGCTCCATTCCAATGAATGACTTTTAAAAATATATAACATCTAAAAAGACTTAAGCTATATAGTGCCAGTTCAGCCTATCAGAGTAGGTATCCTGTGTACTCTATTGCGGTCAATTAATTTTCTCATGTAAAGTGTCCTAGCTAAAAATCAAACTTGCTTTACTAATCAGCTGCTACATAGGTATTTATGTTTACATATAAAATCTTGTGGTCTGCTAGGTACTAAAATTAACCTGAAGTAACTCACTAAAAGATGTTTATTTACTTGACTTAGAAGAAAATCATTATGTTGCATCACATATTATTTAGAGCACGGGTTCCCAACCTGGGGGTCGCGACCCCCCTGGGGGTCGCGAAGGGCTTTCTGGGGGGTCGCCAACTGGTATACTAAACCTTAGTAATTTGAAACAAAACATAAATATTTAGAAGAATTTTTTTAAAAATTCGGCTTTACTAACATCACTGGAAAGGGCATAGAGAAGAAGCAAAGCGTACTGTACAAAGTTGTTCTCAGTCACGAGTTTATGAAATCTTCAAAACTAAAACGTCATTTGAGACGAGTCATTCGAAACACATCAAAAAAGATATGAAGGTCTTTCGTCGGTATGAAGCTAGTTGCAAACGTCAGAGACTTGATCGAACAGGAAGTTTTCACCAAGGAAACACAGCATTAGTGCAAGCATCAAATGAAGTCGTGATAGAAAATGCCAAGCAAAAAAAAAAAAAAAAAAAAAAACACAATAGGAGAAAATCTCATCAAACGCTGCATGTTGAAGATGGTGAAGTTAATTCTTACATGTCCGTAGATGTTAAATAACACATTTTTATTGAAATTAAGCTTTCACCATTGTTTGCTTTTCAAGTTGATAAATCAACAGACGTGAGTTCGTGTTCGCAGTTGCTGGTCTTTGTCTATATTCATTCAGATGATAGCAAAGAAGAGTTTCTCTTTTGTGTAGATAGCATGGAGAAAATAAATACGTTTTTTTTTAATTGGATGATTAAAATGGGTTAAAACGGCTGTGAGGGTTTGTAGGGATGGTGCACCATCTATGTTTAGGTCAAAATCGGGCTTTCAGAAAGCAGAAAAGATTTAGCTCCCTAACCACTGCCCTCACCAATCGCCACCAAGACTCCATTGCTAGTATAAGTGGTAAATTATATAAAATCTGGAGCCTTCAAAGAACTGAGCAAAGACCTGAATATAGATCACGAGGTTCTGCTCTTCTACACTACAGTGCGCTGGCTGTCAAACGAATTGTTGTGAATCGTATTTTTGAATTGAAATCTGAAATCAAAATTGTTCTTGGAAATGCAAAGGAAACAAGACATTTTGGTATACTTAAAACGACATAGAGTGGTTGGAGAGAGTATCATACCTAGCAGATGTGTTCAAACATCAAGATAATCTTAACCTGAAGCTTCAGGGAAAATGAACGAATATTATCACTTTCCATGATTATCTCGGGGCATTTTTATGAAAGCTGCAAAATCGGCGAAGAAAATAAATCTTGGAAATATTGTAAATTTTAGAAACTCTGCAGTGTGGTAGATGAATCTAATTGTGAGATCATTAAAATTTTGAAAGAAGAAATTTCTGGGCATCTTGAATCAAGTGAAAACGAACTGCAGCGCTATTTCTCTGAGCTGAAAAAAACAAGAATCTGCATTGACGCGTTATCCATTCTCTTCTTCCCTCAATGTTGCCAGCATTCCCGATGAATTACAAGATGAATTCTTTGATTTGTAGAATGATTCCACGTAAGATAAAAAAAACTGCACATTGAATTTTGGTGTAGTATTCACCATTCATACCCAAACGTAAAATTGATTGACTTTACGAGAATAGATTTTCAACACTATTTTTCGATTAAAAACAAAATTAAGATAATGATAATGACATATGTTGGCGTTAAAAAAATACTTTAAAAAATTAACCGCGAATGTTTAGTGAATAGTATGCACTTTTACTCATGGTATTAAAACAGTTATCAAGAGTAGTTCATATTGAAAGTTTACTAGAAAATGTTATTTTAGTGCTTATTAATTTCCATACTAATTTCGGCTTTTTTATTCTATGGGGGTCGCGGGTCACTTAATTTGTATAAAAGGGGGTCGCCACTCAAAAAAGGTTGGGAACCACTGATTTAGAGGAATTATTGAGTAAAATTTATTACTATAAAATATCTAAAATATACATCAGGGGAAATCACTGATATTTTTTTTTTACATTTAATACTTCTTACATCAAACCATATTTCTAAATTGTATGCCTGCAGTTACGCATTTAAAGTAACTTGTTTGAGTTTATATCTGTTCTCTTCTACTAGATTTAACTAGCTTATACAATAATGTAGTAGCTAATGATGGACACTCTGAGCCTATTAAGAACTTAACCAATCAACCTCTAGCTGACAGTCTTCAGTTGTACAATACATCTGGTCTGTTGTCAAGGTGGGGCCCTCCTGAGAAGTTTCCTTTCATAGATTCAGATCATAATACAAGTAACAGTGACCTCTCTAGATACCAGTATGTGAAAGAAGAGGAAAATGCTAAACAGAGGCAGGAAATGGATTACAGTCAGCAGCAGTTTGGTAACCTGAATCAGGTACAAAATGGCTTCAGAGATTTGCAGCCAAGCTATGGAAACAACAATCAGGCACAGAAGAGTTACTATAAATTAGAGAAGATTAATGTGGGGAATCCGCAACAGCAGAGTTTACCCCAAAATATTGGGGAATGGCTTAACCAGGATATACCAGGCTATCGAAACTTGCAGGATAAACAGGTAGATGAAATAAATCAAGGTTTGCAGCAGAATAATGTGGATCGCAATACTCAGATAGGACAAGTAAATCAAAGTGTTCCACAAAACAATGTGTATCCCAATAATCAGATTGGACAAATAAATAAACAACAAAACAATGTGTATCCCAATAATCAGATTGGCCAATTAAATAAACAACAAAACAATGTGTATCCCAATAATCAGATTGGACAAATAAATCAAGGTTTACAACATAACAATGTGTATCAGGTAAATCAACTTCAAGGTTTACAGCAAAATGATGTGGATCGCAATAATCAGATAGGTCAAGTAAATCAAAGTGTTCCACAAAACAATGTGTATCCCAATAATCAGATTGGCCAATTAAATAAACAACAAAACAATGTGTATCCCAATAATCAGATAGGTCAAGTAAATCAACTTCAAGGTTTACAGCAAAATGATGTGTATCCCAATAATCAGATAGGTCAAGTAAATAAACAACAAAACAATGTGTACCCCAATAATCAGATAGGTCAAGAAAATCAAGGTTTGCAGCAAAATGATGTAGATCCTAATAATCAAATTGGACAAATAAATAGACAACAAAACAATGTGTATCCCAATAATCAGATTAATCAAGTAAATCAACTTCAAGGTTTACAGCAAAATGTTGTGGATCCCAATAATCAGTTTAATCAAGAGTATCAAGGTTTACAGCAAAATGATGTGAATACAATTAATCAGATTGGACGAATAAATCAAGGTTTACAACATAGCAATGTGTATCCCAATAATCAGATTAATCAAGTAAATCAACTTCAAGGTTTACAGCAAAATGATGTGGATCCCAATAATCAGATTGGTCAAGAAAATCAAGGTATAAAGCAAAATAATGAGTATCCCAATAATAGGATTAATCAAGTAAATCAAGGATCACAGCAAAATAATGAGTATCCCAATAATAGGATTAATCAAGTAAATCAAGGATCACAGCAAAATAATGAGTATCCCAATAATCAAATAGGTCAAATAAACCGAGCTTTACAGCAAAACAATATGGATCTTAATAATCAGGAAAATCAAGTAAATCAAGGGTTACAACAAAATACAGATGTTAATAATCAGCCAAATCAAGAAAATCAAGGGTTACAACAAAATATAGATGTTAATAATCAGCCAAATCAAGAAAATCAAGGGTTACAACAAAATATAGATGTTAATAATCAGCAAAATCAAGTAAATAAAGGGTTACAACAAAATATAGATGTTAATAATCAGATTGGTCAAGTAAATCAAGGGTTACAACAAAATATAGATGTTAATAATCAGCAAAATCAAGTAAATCAAGGGTTACAACAAAATATAGACGTTAATAATGAGCAGAATCAAGTAAATCAAGAGTTACAACAAAATATAGATGTTAATAATCAGCTGAATCAAGTAAATCAAGGATTTCAGAAAAATATGGAAGAATTATCAAATGAGCAAAATCAAATTTTACAACAACCCATCTACCAAAATTTAAAACAAAACAATATTGATTCAACCAATCAACTGCATCCAATTATTCAAGATTTACAACAAAACAATGATCAAAATGGCCAGCAACTTTATGAGAATTCACAGCAAGTGAATGATGTCCCTTATAATCAAGAGAAGCCAAACTATCAAAGTCTACAACAGAGGGTAGAACCCAGCTACCAAGACTCTGAAGATGAAAATGTCAAGAATGTAAAATTAGAAGATGACCTCGAGTTGGACGCCTGGCTGAAAGAACCATCTAATTTGTCCATAGGTGACCCCAGCTATTCAAGCACTGCCAATCCTGTTGATGGAATAAATTATGACGATACTGATACATACCTGTATGATGACAGTAGTTATTATCAGGAACCTGAAGCTATGTTGAGGAGTGATGATGATGACGATTATAATATTGAACAAACAGAAGAAACAACGAAACTGTTCAATAAATTACCTCTAAACAGTTGGACATATAACCCTGGGGGTAAGTCAGAAAGTGCCTGGGATCATTACACTAACCCTGGAAGCTCGACACTGGTATTTTGATGTTTTTGCATGTCACAGGATTTTTTATTTCTTTACTTTCTAATTTTTTTTTTTGGGTGTTAAAAAAAGAGTTGGTATTTCTTTATTTTAAAGGTGGTTTATTAATTGTCTATGAATTGAAGTTATGGTATACAAAAAAGTTAAATTCCACCTCAAGCTCATTTACTTTTTGAAATAATAAATTAATCTTGGCAAATTGTTAAATTTAGTACTTAATGTATCATTGGTCGTATACATAGTTAAAACTTAAGCATTAATTTCTCAGCTGAATCAGGCTAGTTATAGTAAGTAAATTACTGGTTCACAAGCTTAACCCATTTATCTGCATGCCAATTCCTGGATTACACCTGATCTGATTAGAACTGAAGCTCTCTATATCTGACAGATCTGATACTTTACCTTCTTTGTTGTAGAAAGAAGTGAGGCAATTTTCTTTTTTTCTTCTCTAAGAATGGGTTTATAATACCTCTGTGTTAAAAGATATTAAATCAATTACGTTTACTATGTTTGTAGGTTTCCAACAAAGGTATCATTATAGTCCCTAATTAATAACCTGAAGTTAACATTTTAATAGCTGAAGTTTCAGAGTTGAGAATTATCTTAAAACCTCAGGCCAATTTTATCTTTACTAAGCTTTGAACAGCTGGTATATTGTTGGTTTTTTATTGATTTTCCTACATTATTGACCATGTTTAATAGACATTTATTAACTTCAGCAGTAAAAAATCAATTGTAATGAGAGCCATGAAATAACTGGTGTTTTGTTATTCTGTCACCACTCCTATCTTTTCCATACTGATTCAATAGTTATAAACACTAATGATACAGTGTTTATAAACATTAGTGAAACTGTATTTATAAGCATTAATACTACAGTATTCATAAACATTAGTGATACAGTATTCATAAATATTAATACTACAGTAATTATAAACATTAATGGTTCAGTATTTATGAACATTAGTGTTCATAAAAAAGTGATGACTTATTTATGAACATGATTAAACCTTATTGCATGTTCCCTTACTAATGCTTGACTGTCCCCCATGTAATGCTTGGTATAATGTTTCATTATTATAATTTATCTTAGCTTGCAACTCTAGAATTACAAGGTTCTCACAGACTTAGAAACTTGTAATTTTTATTGTAATGAGTTGTCAAGCTTGCTTTGTTGAGACCCATTGCACATGTGTAAACAACTTTTCCTCCTTTATTCTTTTTTTTATGTAACATTTTTTTTTGTTTATTTGTTTTATAATTTATTCACTTAAAAATTCTAATACTTAGCACTTTTTTTAAACAGTTGACCGTGATGATGAATCGACAAGAGACATGGATGGTAGGTAGCTTGAAAGTAAAAATCCATATAGGAACCTATGATTTTTTTAAAAGTGTAAAATAAAGTAAAGTACCTGTTTTGAACCTGATGCAAGTGATTGAACTTTAGTATATTGGTAATAATCTATATGACATTTAAGCACATAAAAACACAAATTATCTTTTCCTGTTCAGATAAATTAGAGTTCACCTGTTTCTGTGACATTTGCATATGAAGGGATAGTGTGGTCAGCACTATGCCCAGCCGTGTTCACTTTCCCAAATGTGAGTTCGGTATCCATTAGAACTTGTTGGACTCAGGGTGTTCTACTAAATTGAACCCTGATTTGAATTCAAGACTCGAGTATTCAAACTCGAGACTCATGTTAGAATTCTAGTGCTCTACAACTAGGTCATGGTGTCCCATTTTTAAAGTGTAGTATTTTGATTGATTTAAAAGTTTTTAAGAGGAATGTGGTATTGTTTCAGAAGATCAGAAGAAACAGAATCAGCATGAAGATACTGTGGATGATGATGATGATGAGAAATACGGTTTAGATAATGATAAAGACGATGATGATGAATATATGCGTGAGGAGTCCAACAAACTATGGACAGAGGAAAAATCTGAAGGTATGTAAGATCTGACAAATAGGATAGTGTATAAGTGGGATGGTATGTATGATCTGACAGAGGATAGTGGATAAGTCAGATGGTATGTAAGATCTGACAGGATAGTGGATAAGTCAGATGGTATGTAAGATCTGACAAACAGGATAGTGTATACGTGGTATGGTATGTAAGATCTGACAGGATAGTGGATAAGTCAGATGGTATGTAAGATCTGACAGGATAGTGGATAAGTCAGATGGTATGTAAGATATGACAGACAGGATAGTGTATACGTGGTATGGTGTGTAAGACCTAACAGGATATTGGATAAGTTGGATGGTATGTAAGATATGACAGAATAGTGGATAAGTCAGATGGTATGTAAGATCTGACAAACAAAGGATAGTGGATAAGTTGGATGATATGTACGATCTGACAGGATAGTGGATAAGTTGGATGGTATGTAAGTTCTTACAAACAATGGATGTAAGCCTGGAGGTTTTTATACTGCTGTGTGCAATGTTTATACTTTTAAAATGATTTTGTTGAGTAATTTTTACTGGCACATTTTGTATTGTATGTCAAAAAGGTTTTATTGACTTACAAGCATAAGTTAGATCGCTTCACTGATTAGACACACTATATAATTGATTAGGCAGACAACATCATTATTCTTAGATAAGACAGATGTAATTGATTAGGCATACAACATCATTATTCTTAGATAAGACAAAGTTTACATTTCTGCCAATCCCTTTCTCATATGCCAAGGCAGATAGTCTATTCCTCACCTGCAATATGGACGTTTGGGTTTAGAAAATTACTTCAACAAAGTTTCATGACTGTGAATTATTAAGTTTAATTGTGAGCTAACATTAATTTTCTCCATAGAATGGACCAGAGTAATGAATATTTTTTTCACCCATTATTGCAGAGAAAGAGGCAGAACCAGAAAGGACTGAATCTGATGACTTTAACGTGGAAGGAGATAATTTCAACAGCGTAGACCCAAGCAAGAAAGGCCCCACAGCACCATCAGGGATGGTGCTGGTGTACACTTGGATTATTGTAGCTATTCTCATTGCTGTTGTGGCTATATCCACATACCAGGCACGCTTTAAAGCATTTATAGTGAGTAGTTTTTTTTTTTTTTTATTGACATTCACAATAAGCCTGACATACATGCATGTATAGCTAGTAACGCAAATAAGAATCAGGGATGTGACTTTTTAAAATTCCTGAGGATATTTTTCATCCAGTTACTGAGACTTTTTCAAAATGTCCTAATTTGTTTTTTCGTGATTTGTCATATCTCTGAAGGATAAATCAACCCACAGCCTAACTATAAAACTTACTGCTTTTGTCAAACTCTTCTACCTGTAGCCTAACTATAAAACTTACTGCTTTTGTCAAACTCTTCTACCTGTAGCCTAACTATAAAACTTACTGCTTTTGTCAAACTCTTCTACCGGTAGCCTAACTATAAAACTTACTGCTTTTGTCAAACTCTTCTACCTGTAGCCTAACTATAAAACTTAATGCTTTTGTCAAACTCTTCTACCTGTAGCCTAACTATAAAACTTAATGCTTTTGTCAAACTCTTCTACCTGTAGCCTAACTATAAAACTTAATGCTTTTGTCAAACTCTTCTACCTGTAGCCTAACTATAAAACATACTGCTTTTGTCAAACTCTTCTACCTGTAGCCTAACTATAAAACTTAATGCTTTTGTCAAACTCTTCTACCTGTAGCCTAACTATAAAACTTACTGCTTTTGTCACTCTTCTACCTGTAGCCTAACTATAAAACTTAATGCTTTTGTCAAACTCTTCTACCTGTAGCCTAACTATAAAACTTACTGCTTTTGTCACTCTTCTACCTGTAGCCTAACTATAAAACTTACTGCTTTAGTCCATCAGTTCTACCTGTAGCCTAACTAAGTGCTAAAATGTGAGAGTAACTAATTAATAATAATTAACCATTTTATCGTTATGTCTTTTATGTACTGTCTTGTATTCTTTTATCTATCTGTTATAGCAAGCATTGTCCCCTATTCATTCCATTATCCAGTATCAGCCTTTGTCATACTTTTTTCTAGAATCAACTTTTATAGTCAGCATTAAGTTCTAGATTCAGCCTTTGTTTTACTGTCTCTGGTACTATCTTGTTTGCTTTCTATAAGGTTACGTAGCTGACTGATATCATGGTGATACAAGTGAAACGAGAGAAATTCATAGGAACATTACATTTCATAACAAAAAAAACCATTACAAAATTATTATTTTTCTGTTAACGAGGAATCCACTTGCCAAAAGGTACAAAGTCAGTTGTCTTTTGATTTGTAATAACAGTTGTTACTTGAATATGTCAAAAAATTAATAAAATCTAAGGAATGAAAAACTTAAGAAACTGCTATTGAAAGATAAATATTGAATAAATTGGTTCTGTTAAAATTGCTGTGCATATTATGAAGTGATACGTCTGAAAATAGAAACCCACTCAGAAGCACATTTTTAGTATTTTTATATTTTTTTAAGATAACTGGCTTATTGTAATAGCAGATCTCTCAGGCTAAACTTTGGATGTCTTCTGTCCTCATTGTCCTAGCAAATATTTTACGTATTGGCCAGTAACCTGTGGGCCCTAATTCAACCAAAAAAATTGTTACATGAGGATGTATGGATAAATTAGATTGCTATAACAATGCTTTATCCATTTTTCTATAAATTTTAAAGCTACTTAGCACCTTTTGCAAGGGACTCCTCAGAAATCGTTTCATGAATGTTTTATGTAATAGTAAATAAGCTTATATTATTTAATGTATTTCAGCTGCCGTATTTCAAAAAGTCAAGCCCATGCCATGGAGAAGACAAGAAACGTCTGCTGGATCATGAGTTTGTTTAAATCAGGTTGTGAAGATCATAACACTCTACTGTGTTTAGAAGATCATAACACTGTACTGTGTTTAGAAGATCATAACACTGTACTGTGTATTGTTGGCAAGTTTTCTCACAGCTCTCTTGAGTCTTAACCTAGATTTTTTTTTGTTGGTGTGTCATTTGATATGTGTCCTTTGACATGTGTCATTTTATGTGTTGGTGATGTCATTACTCTCTCTGGTTGCTCAGTACAGGTTGTTTATGATTTGACTACAATGGCGATAAGTTATAATGATGTATTGTTCACATGAAGCCAAAACTTGTTATTAATGTGGTATTTACTAGATGTATTATAAGAGCTGAGAGATTTGTTCTAAACATACCATTTGAATTCAAAGATCTCACTCCACTGTATGTACATAAGAATGTATGAGATACACCAGCAGTATAGAATCTCTGATCTATTTTTTTAAACTTCATAACCTGAATTTTTGTAGGGTTGGCACTGTTCTTTAAGAGTAAGAATTGTTCCTTCATGTCATAGATTGTTGTGTTAGGTGAGAAGGTTGTGAAAGATGGGAGTACTTGTGTCCCAACTTTGATGTTCTAGATGGTTCAACATATTTTGACAATAGATCTTGATATTTTTTAACAGTTTGCAAACACCTCCCATCTTAGGTTGTTTTTTTTACCGTAAAAAGTAACAAATGGACTATTATTAATAAATTTAAATAACAATTTTATTTTTGGAAATTAACAAAAAATGTATACTGAAATTTTTAGAGTTTAAAAGTAAAAATAGGTGTATTATATTAAAAAGGTGTTGTTTTATTTTTGTTTTAAAAAAGTAATCAAGAAGTATAAATAATAATATTTTAATCTTACTTAGGACTAAGTATTTTGTCTTGTGAGTTTAATTTTGTACATAATAAAGTGCCTTATGGAAAGTTTTTGTGATGATAGGCAGCCTCTCCAGTGGAGGTTTATTAATGATTTTACTTAATTAAAATGTTGGAGGCACATAGAAGTTAAATTTGGCATCAAGATTAATATTGTTACTCTAGAGATTAAATAAGGACAGGCAATTTAAAAAAAAAAAAACTTGCTTAATCACCAAAGAATTGCAGAAGTGGACCAACTTCTAGTTTTATTTCATATGTTAAGTATTAGTGAGGACACAATAGAAATCCACCTTCATTAATTTATTTTTATTGTATTTATTATTTTAAATAATATTTTGTATGGGCTGTTAAATATGGTAATGACTACTTGTTACTACAAAAGAACAAAGGGCTTTAATTATTAGGGATTTTTTTCTCATTTTTTTCTACATCACCACCTTAAAAATGCATAATACTTTACTTGATCTGTTGTAAACTGTCATTCATGTTTATATATATATATTTTTTAGATTTTATAGTTGGAATTATAATATATGATGCTTTAAATAAACCATTATCAATAAAGGAAAAGAAAGATGTGTATAGATAATTGGCTTTCACACTTATTATATTTATTCATCTGTGGGTATTCAACATTTAACTGGTACATTTTTTTTTTACTTTGCTTTTTTCATGCTTAATTGTGATAACTTCCATAACAGAAATACATTTTGATAACATTTTTTTTTAAAGATTAAAGAATATTTGATGCATTGTTCAACTGCTCTTGCCTAACATCCTATGTGGTATTTCAAAAAATAAAGAGGATAATATTTTGTAAAATGGATTTTCTTTTTCTTATAAATAAGCTGGATTGAGAGTGTGATTTATGTAAGTTTTACTTTAAACACATTTCCAAACACTTGGCACTTGTAGAGTAAATAATAATATGAATTCTTCTACCATATATAATGAGTTAAACTTACAGTTTAATAGTTTCTTAACCCAGTCTTTAAATGAAAAGAACAATTGTAAAAAGGTTGACATCAAAACTGTTTTATCACTTGAACCATTAAAAAAAAATAACTTAAAATAAAATCAACACAGATTATAATTTCATTTTGTTTTACAAAACAAACAACAAAATGTTTTAGACAAATTTCGACAGTTTAGAAAAACCATTTGTGATTAACAATTACTTCAATACATAGAAAAACATCCATTCTTAAAGCCCAAATAAAGCAATTTAAGTTAAATAATGTTAAATGAGTGACAACTCTTGATTCTAAATTTGGGGAGCAAGTTTAAGTTTAAAAAGTTTAAATGTATGTAAAATTCTTGGAAAGAAAAAAAAAACTATTATAAAAACCATTACAAAAATCAACACATTATAATCCCTTAGTTTTAGTATTGATAAAGTTTGTCTAGTGTTTAAATAATTTAAATCACTAGCTGCCTATATTTACATTTGAAAGTGTTGTATTAACATTACTCAGCATTACTCAGCTATATTTAAAAAAAAAAATTAAATTGCACTGCAGTTGTAATTAGATCATATTGACACTGAAGAAAAAAATTAACCATTGGTACAGTTTTGTTCTATAAAACTTGACATCAACATATAAAATGTGCAATAAGTGGAAGTTACGTTGACATAATCAAAGTATGAGGACGTTACGTTTTCCTGCGGTTGATGTGGTCATAGATGACAACTTGGATGTACTTGTTCGTACTGATGATGTGGCGCTCTGAATTATCTCCAGGATTTGGAGCCTGTGAATAAAAGTTTTGTTAGACGAGGCAATATTTAAAGTATCTGTACCTACGCCTGTGAATAAGTTTTGTTAGACGAGGCAATATCTAAAGTATCTGTACCTATACCTGTGAATAAAAGTTTTGTTACACGAGGCAATATCTAAAGTATCTGTACCTATGCCTGTGAATAAAAGTTTTGTTAGACGAGGCAATATTTAAAGTATCTGTACCTATGCCTGTGAATAAAAGTTTTGTTAGACGAGGCAATATTTAAAGTATCTGTACCTATGCCTGTGAATAAAAGTTTTGTTAGACAAGGCAATATTTAAAGTATCTGTACCTATGCCTGTGAATAAAAGTTTTGTTAGGCGAGGCAATATCTAAAGTATCTGTACCTATGCCTGTGAATAAAAGTTTTGTTAGACGAGGCAATATTTAAAGTATCTGTACCTATGCCTGTGAATAAAAGTTTTGTTAGACCAGGCAATATTTAAAGTATCTGTACCTATGCCTGTGAATAAAAGTTTTGTTAGATAAGGCAATATTTAAAGTATCAGTACCTAAGCCTGTGAATAAAAGTTTTGTTAGACGAGGCAATATCTAAAGTATCTGTACCTATGCCTGTGAATAAAAGTTTTGTTAGACAAGGCAATATTTAAAGTATCTGTACCTATGCCTGTGAATAAAAGTTTTGTTAGACGAGGCAATATTTAAAGTATCTGTACCTATGCCTGTGAATAAAATTTTTGTTAGACGAGGCAATATTTAAAGTATCTGTACCTATATTCTACAAAGCTGATTGGGCAGAATTTGTGAAGCTAGGGAATTTAAAAAAAGCTTTCTATTTTATTATTTTTTTTCAGCTCCTGTAGCTTATCTTAAACACATGCCATAACACTGTTATATACAGACACTGAAAGGTTATAGTTGTCTAAAGAAATCTAAAGAAAATGAAGCAGGCCAACAAAAATATGGAAAGAGGATTGAGACAAGGAAGAAGAGTTAACGCTTCGTATCAAGCTGCCAGGAAAGCTGTTGTCACTACCTGATTAAAGTTGCTTCCTTCAGTTTTAGCCTAATTCTAGTCCAGTTATTATTTATAAAAATCCCATCAAGCAGACACTATACTAAACAGTTTTAATTTTTCATTCAGAATATCAAAACTGCTTTTCAACATATAAAATTTGATGGATTGAAGTAGAGAAACTTTAGAATGGAAATAAAAAAGAACTAAGTATAGGGTATCAAAGACAATTTTTTTAAATTAAAAAAAAAACAACCTTAGGGTCAACATTGATAATCTTCCTGTCTCTTTTGTTTTTGAACAGCAGCCCTGATGCATTCTCAGCGATGACTTGGTAGTTGGGTGTTGGGTTTGAAGTGGATGTTGCAGTCTCCCAGTTGTAGAAACTATAAAAAAATATTTTTTAGAGACGTCTTTGAACTTTGTGCATGCAAAGTAATACAATACTAGATTTTATGTTTCTTTGCTAAGACATACTTTCTTATAGAAGAAGATGGTGGGATTAACCTGAACTCGTAGTTTTCAAAACTTAAGAGTTTAAGCTGTCTTGTGTATGTCTGCATATTATGTTAAAGGAATTTTAATACTGTTTTTGTATAATGAGTTGAAATATTAAACTTTGGAAAAATAAGGGAGACAAACCTTAAATCTGATGGCCGGGGAAGAAGCCTTTTCTTTCCACTAAAGTAAGGTTCAAAATCTTCAGTTTTCAGTCTATAAGCGTAATCAATGTACCCTGAGATCTCTTGGCCTCTGGAGTTGCGATCTCTTATAAAAACAATTGACTGAAAATAATACAGCAAAATGAAATTTAGACACACTTTTAGAAGGCAATAACAAGTATGTATCTAGTATTCTTTATTCTGTGAATCTCTGGTGAGCTCTAAATATATTTGTTTAAAAAAAGCATTTTAAAATTTCAGTGAAGCATGGATGTTTTTAATCAAAGTAAGTTTAAATGATATAGTATATAGGCCTAAACATTACAGAAATTATTTTGAAAAAAAAAATCTATAGTTAAACTAACTGTCATTTTTCCATTTCTGTTTCCTGCTTCTCGCGCAGCTAATGCCAATAAAAGTGGTTCCTTAATGTCTTTGTCATCACTGGCCAGTTTTCTGGAGGAAAAAAAAAATAAAGCAGTAAAAGTAACGAAAATATTAAAAACTTAAATTAAAAAAATTTAATGAGTAAAAATCAAGAAAATATTTTTAGAATGTCATCAAAAAGTGCTAGATGGTTTTCTATTCTCAAAATTTTTGTTCCATTTAAATGTCCCTACAATAATCCTTTGAACGCAATTCTTGATGTATAGGGCAACTTATATCACACACTGTGCATCATGGAAATCTTATAGCTATGTAATAATAAATATATACATAACTATATGGGGAGACGGGGGTGGACTTGCTACATCCATTAATCCGGAAAATTTTTAAAATGTGCCTCAGCACAGATTGAAACTTTCATTGTGCTTTTTTACCCCATTAAAGCCCAATGATCATCCTCAGCTTGATGAAAATGCACGTGATAGATTGATTTAAAAAAAAAATTAAGCACTAATAGGTTTAGTAGACCTACAGCACTGTTCCTTGTAGCCAATCTAGTTTTTGTTTTACATGGGGGCCCACCAGGATTTCGCCTGCTAGACTTGTGGGCCCAAAACTGACTATTAGACACAGACCCCCAAAATGGTCTTCAGACTTTTGATCAATTATAGGAGCCACCTAAAAAGATGCTTTCACTTACTTTTGCTGGCTACGCTTTGAAAGTCTGCTAGCTTCTGCTGCTTGCTTTCTGGCTTCAAATTCATCTCGTTTGAGTACCTCCCCACTTCCACGGTAACCAAGCTCCACTAACTGTCTTGCTAGCTCTTGATCCTGCATTTCATCATTTATAAAAAATATATTGACATGTACTATCGTAATTTGATTGATTCTTACCTAGTATTCAAACTTGTGTTAAATTCTAATGACTGTATTATAAGGTGTTACGCACCACAAACGTATCATAAATTATATTTACAAAAAATGCATTATACAAAAGAGTAATAGATTTATGTTCTGGTATTACATCATATTGGTTTAGTCTGCGGTAATAATCATTTTATTAACAATCTCTGTTAACAATTTTTGATTAAACTCTTGGGGATGGTTAATAGATGTAAATTAGCCTTCCTTACATAATCTTATAATAGGGTTAGACTTTGTAGAACTAGAGGTACAGTTAGCCTATTATTGGTTAATTATTTAAAAAAAAAAAAGAATGGAGATATTGAATGAATGTCTGATTCAAGGTTTCAATTAGCAGATAGATCTTGTTTAGTCAATTTTTTTCTTCTTTTTCTATATGATCTTATTTATTTAATTAAGGTTAGATCCAAGGGTGTATCGAGGGGAAGGTGGTTGGGGCGGCTTGGCACTAAGGGGTGCCAAACTGTTTTCTACATCAAATGTGGGACACCATAATAAAAAGGAAAAGTGACTGGTAAACAGAACCTCAACCTTTCTCTACTGGAAGGGAGGCAGAGGCTTTTAAAAAATGTGAGAAATCTATGTAATACCAATATAGAAAAGGGTGTGGGGGGGGGGGGGCACAAAAAAAAACCTGACAGTTTACCATGGGTGGTGGGGGGGGGGGGCTCAGATCCCCTGAAGAGAGTCTACCGCACCCCCCCCCCCCCCCCCGAATGAATTGGAATTTATATAGAAAATATATACTTTTAACAGTGGCCGCCACCCTCAAAATTTTTATTCTCCCCCCCCCCCCCCCAGATAATAAACTTTAAGAAGTCTGGAAGAAAACTGGTTAGATCTACCAAGTAAGTATTATTGACTATGCCTTTTACTTAAGTATTAGGCCTAATAATTAATAATAGTAATATAAACTTTGACATAGTCTAGGCCTATATATATATATTAATAATATTAACCTCAAGATAGTATAAATCAGATGAAGTTATCTGTGAGTCCAGAAAATCCTCATAGGTATTATATTCTGTAACAATGTTGTCACTGCCAGTAGATATTTCCTCTTCCATCTTTTCAATTTAGATTAGGTAATGTTTTGAAACAAAGTCACTTCACTACTGACTACAACAATCCAGTGACTGTTTTTTTTTTCTTTTTTTCCCTCTAGTACTCGAGTATGATTTGTATTGTAGTCTAGTAATTTATAATTTTAGTCATTATTATTTCATATAATAATCATATAGGTATATAATATATAATGTCCTAGATCAAGACTAGATCTAGAATCTAGAAATAGATCTAGATCTATATCCCAATGGCTTTTTAAAAATTTAAAATTACAATACAACCCAGTAGTAAATACACACTACACCACAGTCTCAGTCACGACACTGTTCCATTGAGTTGTTCATTGCAAACACATTAATTTTATTTAATCAAATCGTTAGGCTCATAAATAAAGACAAAGTAATTACTAGGTGAGCTCAGTGGTATCGTCTAAGTTAATGTTGTTATTTAATTTGTTAAAAAAAGTTATCCGTATAAACCGGGAATATAGAAAATCAAATGCAAAGAGCAAGCTTATTGTAAGCGACTATCTCCTTGGCAACAGTAAAGAAAGACAACTACCTTAATATCTTTAACAGATGAGAGTTACTAACCTTAGCCTCGTTTGTAAAAGAAACTCGACATATGGCTCAAGTAATAACATAGAGCGTATTTCTACCCCTCATTATATGTGTACCACCTATTTAATTTACTCGGTCTATTTCGAAAAAAAGAAAGTGATGACATTAGTATTTTTAAACTTACGCTAACACTATTTGAATAATTTGCTTCGTCTCTAGAATAAAAATAAGTTATCTCTACTTTGAGCTAAGAACATATAGTCAGAGGCAAATAATAGCAACATATATATAGAAAAACTTGAGGGGTGGGTGCAAATCGAAAGTTTGAGGGGGGGGGGGGTGCAAATAAAAAAAATTGAAAGTTTGTCCCCGGGAAGGGGGGTGACCACCATTAAGTGCCGCACCGGTGGACACCCGACCTCGCTATGCCACTGCATATAGTGCCTAGGCCTAACAATATTCGTGACGTTACCTTTTATATGTTAATACGTCATGAAGTTAAACATTTATGAAGTTAAAACATCCTCGAAAATGATGTCGATTACCCTTGTGATCGGAGGAAAGACCTTTTCATCAAGGG